TTATATTATTTTGATTTTTAATTTGTCAATTTTTAATTTTCTTTTTTCCGATTTCTCGGTTTTACAATTTTTCCATTTTTCACTTCCTTGATTTTTTAGTTTTTTGACTTTTCATTTTAGAATTCCGATTTTTTGCTTTAGCGATTATTAATTTTTCAATTGTTCGACTTTTTAATTTATCGGTTTGTCATTTTTCGAATTCATTGACATTTCCATTTTCATCTTTGACTTTCAAGTTTTCCGTTTTAGAATTTTTTGTTTGCAATTTTGTCAATTTTTTCATTTAATAATAATATTAACGTCCTTCGTCCTTGGTCCTTCGTCTTTCGTCTTTGATCCTTTGTCCTTCGTCCTGGATCCTTCGTCCTTCGTTCTGGATCCTTCGTCCTTCGTCCTTGATCCTTTGCCCTTTATCCTTTGTCCTTCCTCCATTATCTCCCGTCTCTTATCCTTCGTCCATCGTCCTTCATCCTTTGTCCTTTGTCCTTCATCCCTCGTCCTTTATCCTTCGTTCTTCGTCCTTGATCCTTCGTCCTTGATCTCTTGTTTTTCTTCCCTCATCCTTTATAATTCGTCCTTCGTTCTTCATTCTTGATCCTTCCTTCTTTGGTTATTCGTTTTGATTTTTCAAATTTTCGGTTTAAGAGTTTTTCATTTTGTTAATTTTTCTATGTCCAATTTGACGATTTTACAATTTCTTGATTTCTCAATGTTTCGAATTTTTAATCTCTCATTTAATAATTTTTCGTTTTCTCAATTTTTAATTTTGCGATTTTTCAATTTTCCGATTTTCGACTTTAGAATATTCGATTTTTTAATTTTTTTACCATTAATTTTTCATTTATTTATTCGATTTTTCGATTTTTTTTTAAACTTTCTAGTTGCCATTCTTCAATTTTTCGATTTTTCAGTTTTGATTTTCAAGTTTCCAGTTTTAGAATTGATTATCTTTCCAATTTTCCATTTTCAATTTTACTATTTTACATTCAGTTTTTTCATCAATTTCCCAATTTTTCAATTTTTCGATCATTCGATTTTTAATTTTGCAGTTTTTAGAGTTTCCATTTTAGAATATTCGATTTTTTAGAGTCTTCAGTTTTTCGGTTTTTCAGTTTTGATTTTTGAAGTTTTAAGTTTTCAATTTTTCGATTTGCAATTAGTCCATATTCTAGTTTCTAATATTCGATTTTTTAATTTCTTGACTATCAATATTTCGATTCAGTTTCTTGACTTTTCAATTTTACGATTTTCCAATTTTTTCATTCCTCGTTATATTACTTCGATTTTTAATTTGTCAATTTTTAATTTTCTTTTTTCCGATTTCTCAATTTTCAGTTTCTTGATTTTTTCGACTTTTCATTTTAGAATTCGGATTTTTTAATTTAGCGATTAATAATTTTTCAATTGTTCGACTTTTTAATTTATCGGCTTGCCATTTCTCGAATTCTTTGACTTTTCCACTTTCATCTTTGATTTTCAAGTTTTCCGTTTTAGAATTTTTTGTTTGCAATTTTGTCAAATTTGGTTTTTTGATACCTGCAACCGTTTTTCCAGAATCGACCGTTGAAATTTCGAAATATTTGAAATTTTCAAAAATTCGCATTTCGCAGCGATTTTTTCGAAAATGTTGCTTCCTAACCATCAACATGCTATATTTTTGAAATCAGCGTGTCGAGATCTATGTCCTTGAATTTTTTCATAATTTTTAGACAACTTTTTTCAAATTGAAATTTTTTAATGCTCCCCCCTTCTTCAATTTTCGCAAAAATTTTGACATTTTCGAAACTCAACTGAACACATTTTCTTGTAGATTTTGAGCTCTAGAACCCTAATCCGGCTTCGGTTTTTTGATACCTGCAACGGTTTTTCCAGAATCGACCGTTGAAATTTCGAAATTTTCAAAATTTTCAAAATTTCGCATTTCGCAGCGATATTTTCGAAAATGTTGCTTCGTAACCATCAACATGCTATATTTTTGAAATCAGCGTGTCTAGATCTACGTTCTTGAATTTTTTCATAATTTTTAGACAACTTTTTTAAAATTGAAATTTTTTAATTGTCCCTCCCCCTTCTTCAAATTTCGCAAAAATTTTGACATTTTCGAAACTCAACTAAACACATTTTCTTGTAGACTTCGAGCTCTAGAATCCAAATCCGGCTTCGGTTTTTTGATACCTGCAACCGTTTTTCCAGAATCGACCGTTGAAATTTCGAAATTTTTGAAATATTCAAAAATTTGCGTTTCGCATCGATTTTTTCGAAAATGTTGCTTCGTAACCATCAACATGCTATATTTTTTAAATCAGCGTGTCGAGATCTACGTCCTTGAATTTTTTCATAATTTTTTTATTTAATAATAATAATAATATCCTTCGTCCTTGATCCTTCTTCCTTCGTCCTTGATACTTTGTCCTTTATCCTTTGTCATTCCTCCCTCGTCCTTTATACTTCGTCCTTCATCCTTCGTTCTTTATACCTCGTCTATTATCCCACGTCCTTCCTTCGGCCTTTATCCTTCGTCCTTTATCTTCGTCCTTTATCTTTCGTCCTTCGTCCTTCGTCTTTCATCCTTCATCTTTCGTCCTTTATACTTCGTCCTTTATCCTCCCTCCTTTATCTCTCCTCCTTTATCCTTCCTCCTTTAATCCTCGTCTTTGATCCTTCATCCTTCGTCCTTTATACCTCGTCCATTATCCCACGTCCTTCCTTCGGCCTTTATCCGTCGTTCTTTATCTTCGTCCTTTATCATTTGTCCTTAGTCCTTTATCCTTCTTTCTTCGTCTTTCGTTCTTTGTCTTTCGTTCTTCGTCCTTCGTCTTTCTTACTTCACCTTTCGTCCTATATCTTTCGTTCTTTATCCTTCGTCCTTTATCCTTCATCTTTTATCCCTCTTCCTTTATCCTTGGTCCTTTATCCTTCGTCCTTCATTCTTTGTCCTTCATCCCTCGTCCTTTATACTTCGTTTTTTATATTTCGTTCTTTATCCTTCGTCCTTTATCCTCCCTCCTTTATCCCTCGTCCTTTATCCTTCCTCCTTTAACCCTCGTCCTTCGTTCTTGATCCTACATTCTTGATCCTTCGTCCTTCGCCCTTCATCCTTTGTCCTTCATCCCTCGTCTTTTATATCCTTCGTCCTTCGTCTTTTGTTTTTGATTCTACATTCTTGATCCTTCTTCCTTCGTCCTTGATCTTTTGTTCTTCATCTGTCGTCCTTCGTCCTTCTTTATTCGTCCTTCATCCTTCATTCTTGATCCTTCGTTCTTCGTTCTTCGTCCTTGATCCTTCGTTCTTCATCCTTGATGCTTCGTCCTTTATCCTTTGTCCTTCATTCCTCGTTCTTTATACTTCGTCCTTCATACTTCGCCCTTTATACCTCGTTCATTATCCCACGTTCTTTAACCTTCGGCCTTTATCCTTCGTCTTTTATCTTCGTCCTTTATCCTTCGTCCTTCGTCCTTTATCCTTCTTCCTTCGTCTTTCGTCCTTCGTTTTTCGTCCTTTGTCTTTCGTTCTTCGTCCTTCGTCCTTCGTCCTTAGTCCTTTATCTTAGTCCTTCGTTTTTCATCCCTCATCTTTCGTCCTTTATCTTTCGTTCTTTATCCTTCGTCCTGTATCCCTCGTTCTTTATGCTTTGTCCTTTATCCTTTCTCTTTTATCCCTCATCCTTTCACCTTCGTCTTTCGTCCTTCGTCCTTGATCCTTTGTCATTCATCTCTGGGCCTTTATACTTCGTCCTTTATTCTTCGTCGTTTATCCCTCTTCCTTTATGCTTCGTCCTTTATCTTTCGTCCTTCATTCTTCGTCGTGCATCTTTCGTTCTTCATCTTTTGTGCTTTATCCCTGATCCCTTATCAGTCGTTCTTTATTCTTTGTCCTTCATCCTTCGTCTTTCGTCCTTGATCTTTAGTCCTTCATCCTTCATCCTTCATCTTTCGCCCTTCATCTTTCGTCGTTTATCCATCGTCCTTTATCCTTCGTTATTCATCCTTCGTCCTTCGTCATTTATCCTTTGTCCTTCACCCCCCCCCCGGTCTTTATCCTTCGTCCTTTGTCCTTGATCCTTCATCCTTTATCCTTCATCCTTCATTGTCAGATCAGAAATTGAAAATACAAAAATTGTTAAAATACAAAATTAAATTACTGAAACATCTAAAACTGGGAAATTCGAAAAATCTTCAAAATCGAAAATTGAAAAAGCAGAAAATTGAAAAACTGATAAAAAATTTATATATTGAAAAATTTTATGCTGAAAACTAAAAAACTGCATATCAAGATAAAACGAAGACTCGAAAATTTGAAAATCGAAAAATTCAAAAATATAAAAATTTCAAAAAATGAAAAATTGTAAAATCAAAAAATTGCGAAATTGGAAAATCGAGAAATTGCCGAAATTGTAAAAAAAAGAAAAACTTCAAATCGAAAAAATTAAAGTCAAAAAGCGAAAAATTAAATACTTACAAAAAATTTAAAAAGCCAAACAATTTCAAAACAAAAATAATAAAATTAAAAAGTCGAAAGATGCAAATAAATCAACAAACGAGAAAAATTGGATAATAAAAAACTGAGTCTCAGTACCGTATCCAAAATTAAACTAAAATAAAAATAAATAAAAACCAAATTAATCAATATTGGTTTGACTCGCACGAACAATCACCGAATGCCTGGTGTCTGTACGGACGTTAATAGGCAATCCTTAGAAAGCAATTTAATACTCGATAACTCTTGATTACGCTCAACTTGACGCTCTATAGCACCCAATAATTTTCGGTTATAAGCATTAAGCTCTGTCAAGGATCGTATAATGGAAGCCGATCAATTGTCAAGTGTGTATGTTGCTTTACAACGCTGCTGTTCGCGCTCCTGCTGCTCCTGCTTCGAGTTATTCAGTTCACTTATACTAAACAAATGTTGTAAGTTGTTTACGACGAAATAACCGAAACCAACGGTTGTGATAACGCAGAAGGTGCGAAAGTTTATCTGTTAAGCGTCATTTAAGTGGGGAATGGCTGACTTAAGTAACTTCGACTGAGTTACAACTCACACATTTGGCAAAATGGGGTGCAGTTTTGTCCTGGTGTGGCTTTTCGTTGTGCTTTGTGGCTGTCAGGGGGTACGAACTTACAATCAAACGTGTTTCAGGGTTTTAGAGTTTGTATTTTTGCAGAATTTTGTTAGCTCCACAGTCACTCCTGACACCGAACACGAAAAAGTGGACCTAGAATTCACAATCAGAGAAATCTATCGTCGTTTAGAAAATCTAGATAGGCATTATGCGGAAAACAACAGAAAAACAGACACTATACCAGAAAATTGTCTAGAAGTAAAAAAGCGAGGAAATAATGTGACTGGTATCTTTCTCATTAAACCCGAGTACGCATCTGCCCCTTTTCTGGCGCTTTGTGATATGATTACGAGGGGCGGTGGATGGACAGTCATTCTGAACAGATTCGATGGCTGTTTGGATTTTTATTTAGGCTGGCAAAACTACAAAAACGGTTTTGGAAATCTAGCTGGAGAATTCTGGTTGGGTTTGGAGAAGATTCATCAATTGTCTGGTAAGTTTAGAGTTTGGTTGGTCAAGAAATGACCGATTGTTTGTAAGGTTTTCAAGTCAACGAGCTACTCGTGGAATTAGTCGACTCTGGCAAAACAGAAGTTTATGCTGGATACAAGCATTTTAGTGTTTCTAATGAAGTGGAAGGTTACAATTTGCAAAGTCTAGCAGGGTTTAGTGGAACTGCGGGAGATTTTCTTAGCCATCAAGCTGGTATGAAATTTACCACCAAAGACAAAGACAACGATATTGCTCCAAAAGGCAACTGTGCAATTACTTACAGTAGGTAGCTGTGTAAATGAACTCTGTTAATTGTGATGGTGAGTTTTTTACAGCTGGAGCTTGGTGGTATAATAAATGCCACCAGAGTCAACTCACTGGTGTTTACACAGAAAAAAAAAACAAATACAAAGGGCTTCGCTGGGGGGAGAGGTTTTTTTTGAAAAAGGCCAGAATGCTGATTAGGCCACAGATGGATTCCGATTTGGTTTTATGAACATCTCAATTGCATTATTTTGTTAAAAATGCGTTGTAAATAAATTCTACTCAAAACCCACTTTCATGTTTTCTCGACGTTTCATAACCTCTGTCTATCTATTATCAGTCTCAATTTTTATTAGACACGTAATCGCCGAAACTACTGGACCAAAATTCGAGTAATTATCCGCACTTTCTATGGGATGACGTCATCCCCTAAGTTTACAGTAATTTTTTTTTTTCATTTTATAATGTATAATAATTTTTTCAATTTTTCAAGTTCTCCATTTTCAAATTTTTCAATTTTTCGATGCTACAGTTTTTTTACAGATTTTCCAAGTTATTGATTTTAATTTTTCATTTTCTCGATTTTATATAACAAATTTTCGTTTTTTCATTTCCTTTATTTTTTCAATGTTTCTATCGATTTTATAATGTTTCCTTTGTTCAATATTTTAAATTATCGGGCCCCAGAAGACATATCGGCTTTCATTCCTTCGATATCTCTAATGGTTCTTCCAGAATCGTCCTTCGAAATATACAAAAATGAACAAAATACCACCAATTCTCGGACCAATTTTCAACAAAATTTTCGAAAATTCACTAAATACATTTTCTCGTCGATTTCGGGCCCCAGAAGTCATATCCGCTTTCATTTCTTCGATATCTCCAATGGTTCTTCCAAAATCGCCCTTTGAAAAATGAAAAATTGGTCTAAAGAGTTTAGACAGTACTTCCCTCGCTGTCGGAAACTTGACGACTTCATGCCTATTGTGTTTTTTTTCTCATTACATTTTTGTAGTGGGAATTTAAAAAAAAAATTGCGATGACGTCATCAACATTTTTGCAAGGACACGTATATCAGTTGGGATAGATGTAGTGTAATACTAAGAATAAAATTATTATATTCTCAAATTTTCGGGAAAATGAATTGGGTCGTTTTGAATATTGATTTGTAATAATCAATAAAATAACGAAACAATTTACTCACGTATACGTATCAGAGGCAACTGAAAATCGTGTATGTATAAACATTCTTAATTTAAAATGACAGGCGTAACAGCATACGTGAGAGTCAAACAGAGAAACTATAAACAAAACGACCATCGGTTTTATTGCCTCGATTTCCGCTTATTATATAAAACATTGGGTTTTATTTTAATTCTTGGCGGTGAAATTCACAATTGGTTGATTATAAACATGTCTATTTCACATTCGCGGAACCAAGTGGACGCATAAAACAAATGCAGGTCTGTAATGTTAAAGTCGATGTAAATAAGCGTGCTACCCTTATGTTTCAACAGAGTTTTTCCTTTAACAAATTTTGTGTCTACCAAATTGGGTTGGTCGGGGTGTAATACTAATAATAAGTGTTGCCTTTAATTTAATCAATAAAATAAATTGACTTCATTAATTTTTTTGAACCACCTCTTAAGAAAATCTAAAAAATATGAATGGAATGATAAATCACAAATACAAACTCATCATATTTTTTGCATTTTAGATAGGATTTATTCAGCAAAATTTAAGGGTGACGTCATCAATTTTTTTAGGAGGGATGAACAAATACATTTTGAACAAAAGTTTACCATACTTATAATAACTTTAAAATATTCCTAAGATTTCAAAGCATTCGGTTTTGTAATTCCTGATTAAATCGATAAAATAAATTCACGCCTTCATTAATTTTTTTGAGTCACCCTGCATATGCAAATCCAAAAATATGAATGGAATGATAAATCACAAGTACAGACTCATCATATTTTGTACATTTTAGATACGATTTATTCGGCAAACTTTTGAGCTGACGTCATCAGTTTTTTGTAGAAGATAACCAAATATATTTTGGCTAAAAATTTATTATGCTCTTTATAACCTTAAAACATCTGCAAGATTTCAAAGCATTCGGTTTCGTAGTTCCTGATTAAATCAATAAAATAAATTTACGCATTCATTAATTTTTTTGAGTCACCCTGTATATGCAAATCCAAAAAATTTGAATGGAATGACAAATCACAAGAAGAGACTCACCATATTTTGTACATTTTAGATAGTATTTATTCAGCAAAATTTTGTGGTGACATCATAAATTTTTTAGGGGGGACGACCAAATACGTTTTGATCAAAAATTTACCATGCTTATGATAATTTTAAAATATCTTCAAGATTTCGAAGCATTCGGTTTTGAAGTTCCTGAGTAAATCAGTAAAATAAATTTACGCTTTCATTTATTTTCTTGAATCACCCTGTATATGCAAATCCAAAAAATATGAATGGAGTGATAGATCACAAGTACAGACTGATCATATTTTGTACATTTTAGATATGATTTATTCGGCAAATTTTCGAGCTGACGTCATCAAGTTTTTGGAGGGGATAAGCAAATATATTTTGACTAAACATTTATTATGCTCTTTATAACCTTAAAACATCTGCAAGATATCAGAGCATTCCGTTTTGTAGTTCCTGATTAAATCAATAAAATATATTTACGCATTCATTAATTTTTTTGAGTCACTCTGTATATGCAAATCCAAAAAATATGAATGGAGTGATAAATGACAAGTACAGGCTCATCATATTTTGTACATTTTAGATATGATTTATTCGGCAAACTTTCGAGCTGACGTCATCAAGTTTTTGGAGGGGATAAGCAAATATTTTTTGACTAAAGATTTATGATGCTCTTTATAGTCTTAAAACATCTGCAACATTTCAAAGCATTCTGGTTAGCAGATTAAAAATTAAATTTCAAAATGTTGTTTTATAATTTTGATTTTTTTTTCAAAAATCTGGACGTTTCAGGTGAAAAGTCGATTCAGAATTGTAAACTACATGTGTAGGACTATGTTATTTTATACAATTGAAAACCCATTTACTATGTACAATTTTGAAGTGACGTCATCCCTTTAGTGGTGGGGATGATTAGACAAATTTTGGTTAGCGTTTTACCATCTACATGATATTCTTAATATAAGTACAAAATTTCACAACAATCGGTCGAGTACTTTCGGAGATTATCTGTCTAATAAAAATCCGGGACAACAGACGGACAGACGGACAGACGGACGGACAGACGGACAGACGGACAGACGGACGGACAGACGGACAGACGGACAGACGGACAGACAGACGGAAATGGGAGACCTATTTCTTCGTCTTCTAGGGGTCATGAAAGATCGAGAAAACGTAAAAGTAGAGAGTCGGCCGACGGACTCGATTACAATACTTCCTTTGCTTACGCTCGGGAAGTAAAAATTGAAAAAACGAAAAATCAAAAAATTTAAAAGTTGAAAACGCGCATATTGCACATCGTAGAATTGAAAAACGAAATATTGAAAAGATTTAAGCTGAAAAATATATGAAAAAAAATTTTTGGACCAATTTTTAACGAAATTTTCGAAATTTCACTAAATACATTTTCTTGTAAATTTCGGGCCCCAGAAGTCATATTCGCTTTCATTTCTTCGATATCTCCAATGGTTCTTCCAAAATCGCCCTTTGAAATGTACAAAAATGTGCAAAATACAACCAATTCTTGGACCAATTTTCAACAAAATTTTCAAAATTTCACTAAATACATTTTCTTGTAGATTTCGGGCCCCAGAAGTCATATCCGCTTTCATTTCTTTGATATCTCCGATGGTTCTTCCAGAGCCGCCCTTTGAAATGTACAAATATGAGCAAAATACTACCAATTCTTGGGCCAATTTTCAACAAAATTTTCTAAATTTCACTAAATACATTTTCTTGTCGATTTCGGACCCCAGAAGTCATATCCGCTTTCATTTCTTCGATATCTCCAATGGTTCTTCCAAAATCGCCCTTTGAAATGTACAAAAATGTGCAAAATACCACCAATTTTTGGCCAATTTTCAACAAAATTTTCGAAATTTTACTAAATATGTTTTCTTTAGATTTCGGGCCCCAGAAGTCATATCCGCTTTCATTTCTTTGATGTCTCCAATGGTTCTTCCAGAATCGCCCTTTGAAATGTACAAAAATGTGCAAAATACCACTAATTTTCCGACCAATTTTCAACAAAAATTTCGAAATTTTACAAAATACATTTTCTTGTAGATTTCGGGCCCCAGAAGTCATATCCGCTTTCATTTCTTCGATATCTCCAATGGTTCTTCCAAAATCGTCTTATGAAATGTACAAAAATGTGCAAAATACCACCAATTCTTGGACCAATTTTCAAAAAAATTTTCGAAATTGTACTAAATAGATTTTCTTGTAGATTTCGGGCCCCAGAATTCATATCCGCGTTCATTTCTTTGATATCTCCAATGGTTCTCCCAGAATCGTCCTTCGAACTATACAAAAATGCACAAAATACCACCAATTATAATTGAAAAACGGAAAAATTCTAAAATCGTAAAAATTGAAAAAGTGAAAAATTCAAAAAATAATGTCGTTTCTTCAGTTTCTTTCATTTTTCAATTTTTGCATTTTTCAAAGTTTCGATTCAAATTGTAGGTAAACCGAAAAATTGCAAGCCGAAAGAGCGAAAAAATTTAAAAATTGCAAAACATTTCATAGAAAAAAATTGGTCTAAAGAGTGTAGATAGTACTTCCTTCGCTCTCGGAACCGTATCTCTATGTCTATCATAGATTCTTTTCATTATAGTTCTGTAATGGGACATTTTAATAAAATCACTTTCACTCTGGAAGTTACGGCTCACTCTTAATTTAATCAATAATAAATTGACTGATTCAATAATTTTTTTGAAAATGCAGTGATAAATTAAAAGTATATTTTGATGATATTTTGCACATTTTCGAAAGGATTTATTCAGCAAAATTTGAGCGCCGTCATCAATTTTTTGGAGGGGTCAAGTAAATATATTTTGATTAAAAATTTATCATGCTCATCATAACTTTAAAACATCTGCAAGATTTCAAAGCAGTCGGTTTTGCAGATACAAAAGTAAATTGCAAAATGTTGCTTTATACTTTTGATTTCAATGAAAAAAGTAAAGTTAGAAAAACAAAAAATTATGAGTTTGATACATCGTAAAACCTGATAAAGCTGATGACAACGAGTATGGTGAATCCCCTTTTCAGTGGGTTATAAACAAAACACATATGTATTTAGTAAACAAAATTAATGTTATCGACTGACCATGAACTGGAGCCTGCATCTTTTAAATAACCCCGATTGCTTAAGAATGAAATCATTTTAAAAATAGTAAGCAAAATGTGGGGTACTTTTATCTTGATGTTGATCATTGCTGTGTTATGCGATAGCGCAGAGGTACGTACTTGCTTGAAATCAAACACGATTCACACCTGAAACTAATTTTCACACTTCAGTTTTCAGTTAGAACTACAGTCAGCCCTGACACAGAACGCCAAAAACTAACAAACATTCTGAACAGCTTGAATGAAAAAGTGGAACTGCAATCAACAATCAGAGAAATTAACAATCGTTTAGAAAAACTGGACAAACATTACGCGGAAAACAAACTCAGTCCTGCAACCACTTCTAACGAAGTCAGTCGTAAATTAGAAATCATCGAACAGAAACTAACCGAAGTACTAAACAAAGTAGCCGAAGTCACCCCCATCCCGGAAAGTTGTCTAGAAGTAAAAAAGCGTGGAAATAACGTCACTGGTGTTTTCCTAATCAAACCCAGATTCGCGTCTGCCCCTTTTCTGGCGGTTTGTGATTTGACCACGAGAGGTGGCGGATGGACCGTCATTCTAAACAGATTCGATGGAAAAGTGGATTTTTATTTAGGTTGGCAGAGCTACAAAGTCGGGTTTGGGAATCTAGCTGAAGAGTTCTGGTTAGGTTTGGAAAACATTCATCAATTGTCTGGTAAGTCTAAGTTTCTGTAAGTCAAGAAATAACAACTGTTTGTTAGGTTACCAAGTCAACGAGCTACTAGTCGAACTCGTGGAGTCCGACAACAACGAAACTTTTGCTAGTTATGACCATTTTAGTGTTGGTAGTGAAGTGGAAGGTTATGCTTTGAAAACGCTAGGAGGGTTTAGTGGAACTGCGGAAAATTCGCTTGCGTATCATGGTGGTTTCAAATTTACTACCAAGGACAAAGACCAAGATTTACATACAGGAGTAAATTGTGCACAATCGTATAGTAGGTAGCGCTGTACTTGAAAATCGTTAAGTGTGGTGGTGATTTTTTAGGTGGGGCTTGGTGGTATGGTAAATGCCATCACAGTCATCTGACTGGTCTTTACAAAGGAGCCACAGACAAATACAAAGGAGTTCGATGGGGGGAGAGGTTTTTTCTGAAAAAGGCCAGAATGCTAATTAGACCACAACTGGATCTCTCCTTGACATTATGAAGACTTATAATCTCGAAAAACGGCTTTACAATGTGATAATCTTTTTTTGTAATTATTGCATTTACTGCATCACTAAGTTAAACAATAAAACTAATTTAAAGGGTTCTCGAAATTCCTTGATGACTGTGCCCAAGGTGCTCTGGCAGAACACAAAGTTAATAAAGAAATTTAAGTATACACAAGAGAGATCCTCATGGAACTTGGTTGGCTGGATTTAAAAAGAAAAAAATATTGTCTTATCACGGTAACTGACCCATCAATTAATTCAAATATTTATTAGACGAGTGTAAAAATAAAACTCCAATCAGTTGATGTGTTGAACAGTTCTGATTTAAATCCATTGATTTTAACAAATAAGTATTGACTATCTAAATAAGAATTTAATAATGAAATTAATGGGTACGAAAACCCAAAATATTCTAACTTTTGTATTAGGAGGCGATGGTCAATTTTATCAAATGCTTTTGATAAATCAGTATAAATAACGCCTACTTGGCATTGGTTGTCTAATGAATCACTTAAAAATTGTGTTATGGAAAGAAGATTTGTCATAGTGGAACGTCGTTTGGTAAAACCATGCTCAGTTAAGGAAATCATTTGTGATATATTGGTGGGACAAAATATTATGTAACACTGTTTCGAACACCTTGGCAAAATTAGAAATAATAGCTATGGGCTTATAATTTTCAACATTTGATTATTGTTCTTTTTTGTAAACGGAGCAAATTCTAGAGTACTTCCATTTATTACGAAAAGTAACGTCTTTAAAATAAGGTTGAATATAATAGTTAATGGTTAATTTCTTATGCTTTACTGTTTTGATAATAAAGCCATTGAACCAATTGGGATAATTACTTACATAAGTAACTTTCCTTGGGACATGCATTTGGAAAATCTCATCTTAGATTTAGTAGAACCTAGAAACGGCTTCCTCGACAGTGTTAAAATTATTAGGAACCGACCAGTCCACTAACAAAAGTTTCTCATAAAGAACATGAAAATTGCATTTACTAAAATTATAATCAGACTCCACCGAAATTGGAAATTTCTTACAGTAATAACTAGAGAGCACAAAAAAATTAAGAATAAGCGCTTAAATAAGCACATTTTCAATAAAAAAGTTTTATTTTAGGCAAAAAAGCATTAAAAACATAATCATATTACAAATCAAAGAACACTTCTTAGAACTTTGGATAAAATATTATTACAATAATCCTAGACTTTATATTTTACAAACGTTTTTCAGTCTTCTTTAAAACAATTTAGGATTGTAATATGTTCCAAGTTGTCAACTGGAAAATTTTTTCGCCGATCATTTAAAATGTGTTTAAAATAAAAATTAAAAAATTTAAAAGTTGAAAACTCGGCAAATTGAAAACCGAATAATTGCAAATCGAAAAATTGAAAAATCCAAAAAGAATAAATATAAAATCAGTACAATAAGAAACCGAAAAATTTAACAAATGAAGGAAATACAAACCGTATGAAAAGTTGAATAATGAAGAAATGAAAAATTAAAAAATGTAAAAATTGAATACCTCGCGAAATGGCAAATAGAAAAATTGCAAAATCTAAAAAGTGAAACACCCAAAAGTTGAAAAATCGAAAACTGAAAAATTTAAGGTTGAAAACTAACCGCTCTAGTTTTTATTTTTAAATTTTTCGGTTTTTTGATTTTACTATATAGAACTACTCGGGATTTAATTTTTAAATTTTTCAGTTTTTTCCTAATATTTGATATTTTAATTTTTAGACTTTTTCACGAGAGGTTTCAGCTTTTTGATTTTTCAATTTTTCATTTCTTCTTTTTTCCTTTAGGCTTTTTATTTTCTTCATTTGTTGATTTTTTCGGTTTTTCTTTGTTCTGTTTTTTAAACTTTCCATCTTTCGATCTGCAATTTTTCGATTTTCAATTAGTCAATTTTTTAACTTTTAAAGTTTTTCATTTTCAGTTTCTACAATTTTTGATTTACAATATTTCTTGTTTTCATTTTACATATGGATTTATTAATAATTATGATTTTTTAGGTTTGTTCACTTTTCATTTGTACGATTTTAGATTTTTCCGTTTTTCATTTATGTATTTGATTTTTCAATTTTCTTGATTTTTAATTTTTCAATGTTTCAATTTTTCGTTTCTCAGTTCTACGATTTGAAATATTGCCAAAATGTAAAACTGTAAGTTCAAAAATGAAAAAAGAGAAAGTATAAAATGAAAAAATTGAGGAAACGAAACTCTGAAAAAATTAAAATTAAAAAAACAAAAATTATAAAATCGAAACATTGTCAAGCTTGATAATGAAAAAATTAAGAAAATGGAAAACTGAAACGAAAAATTGAGAAATTAAAAATAAAAAACTCGAGAAACTCAAATAAAAAAACCGAAGAAATGAAAAATTGAAAAATCGAAAAACTAAAAAATTTAAAAATGTAAGCCGGAATTACAATATCGTAAAATTGTAAATCGAAGTATTGAAAAAATTAAAATCGAAAAAATGTGTGAAAAAATTTTAAAATCCAATAACTGAAAAACGGAAATGTTCTAAAATCATAAAACTGAAAAAGTGGTAAATTTTCTAAATCATAATTGTTATTAAATACACATTTAAAATGAAAACTAGAAAAATTGCAGATCAAAAAATGTAGACGCGAAAAATTGAAAAATTTAAGAATGAAAACTAACCACTCATTTTTAAATTTTTCAGTTTTTGCAACTATTGGATATCTCAGTTTTTAGATTTTTCGAGTTGTAATTTCACGAGGTTTCAGTCTTTTGATTTTTCAATTTTTCATTGTTCTATCTTTGGGTTTTTTCATCTTTCGATTTGCAATTTTTCGATTTTCAGTTTGTCAATTTTTCAAATTTCAATTTTTTAATTTTCATCAGTTTCTACAATTTTTGATTTGCAAATTTTACATATGGATTTAATAACAATTATGATTTTTAAAATTCGTTCACTTTTTATATGTATATAATAAACAGTATAGGTCCTAATACAGATCGTTGTGCCACCCCACGAAAAATTGAAGAAGTGAAAAATCGAAAAAAACTGAAAATTTAGAATAGTCAAAATTTGAAAAAATTGAAAAATCAAAAATTTAAAAACCGTAAAATTGAGGAGGATAAAAATTGAGAAATCGTATCATTGGAACATCGGAAAATTGAGAAATCGAAAAATAAAAAAATCGAGTTATCGAAAATTTGAAGAATGGAAAAATTGAAGAAGTCCAAAATTGCAATATTGAAAAATTGAGAAAAATGGAAATATTGAAATGAAAAATCGATAAATTGAAAAATCTAAAATTTAAAACATTGAAAAATTCAAATATAGAAAAATTTTAAAATCGAGGAATCCAAACGTGAAAAAATCAAAAAAATTAAAATAGGAAAATCGGGAGATTGAACAATCGGACAATTGAAAAATCGAAACATCGAAAAATTGGAAAATCGACAAATGAAAAAAATGGAAAATCGAAAATTTAAAAATTCCGAAAATTGAAAAATTAAAATATAGAAGAACTGAAAACACAAGAAATCGAAAAATCCAGAGGTCGTAATATCGAAAGTCGAAATACCAAAAAATTGAAAAATAGAAGAAAAATTGAAAAATCAAAAAGCTGAAAATCCAAAAATTGAAGAACTGAAGAACTGAACCATCGAAACTTTGGGAAGTCGAGAAATGGGAAAATCAAAAAATTTAGCAACGTCAGAATTTGAGAAACTGAAAAATAAATATACTGCAAAACTGAAAAATGAAAAAATCGAGAAATCGAGAAGTCGAAAGCCGAGAAGAAAAGTTAAAAATTGAAAAATTGATAAATCAAGAAACTGAACAATCAAAACATCGAAACATCTGAATTCGATAAATCGAGAGATCAAAAAATTGAAAAATCAAAAATTTAAAAAATTGAGAAATCGAAGCATAAAACAGTCGAAAAATTGAAAAATCTAAATTTTCGAGAAATCAAAAAAAGCCAGGAGTCGAAAAAATTGAAATATTGAAAAATCTCATAACTGAAAGAAATATTAAAAATAGGGAAATTAAAAAATTGGAAAATTGAGAAATCGAAAAACTATAACAGCAAAGGTAAAAAACGTAAGCCTAAAAAAAATCGAAAAATTGAAGAAGTGAAAAATCGAAAACTTAGGAAGTCAATAAATGGGAAAATAAAAAAAAGATTACATCAGAATTCGGAAAACTGAAAATTTAGAATAGTCAAAATTCGAAAAATTGAAAAATCGAACTTAGGCAGATATTACCTTCACATCACCGAGATAAACTCTCAAAGCTAATTGTTTTAAGTAACCAATCACTTGAATCTTCTTAAATTCTTTGTTTGAATCGTTGATAAAGTGTGGCATAATTTAACATCACGTAAATTGTGCTTTTTCTTTTTTTTATTTTTGGTTAGTCAATTTTACAATTTTTCTATTTTTTTTCGAAAAGTTGAAAAATCGAAATACAAAAAATCGGAAAAAATTGAAGCATTGAAAAACCTGGAAAAACTGAAAATGTAAAATCGATGAATTCGATGAATCGTCGAAACTGTAATTTCGAAAAATGTAACACTGAAAGTCGGAAAACGGAAAATCTAAATATCGAGAAACGGAAAAATTCTAAAATCGTAATACTGAAAAAGTGGATAATTTTAAAAGTCATGATAATTATTAAATACATATTTAAAATGAAAACAAGAAAAATAGCAAACCAAAAATTGAAAACCGAAAAATTGCACATTGAAAGATTGAAAAATCCGAAAATTGAAAAATATCACATAAAAAAAATAATGATAAAATTAGAACACTGAAAAACTGAAGAAATTAAAAGACCTAAACTATGAATTGCAAATTAAAAATTGAAGGAATGAAAAATTGCAAAATCGAAAGACTGAAATCTCGTGACACTGCTATTCGAAAATTTCAAAATCTAAAAACTGAAATATTTAAAAGTTGGAAAATCGAGAAACTAAAAAATTTATAAATGAAAATTCGACTTGTGATATCGTAAAATTGAAAATCCGAAATTGAAAAAATGAAAAAAATTTCGATTTTCAATTTGTCAATTTTTCAACTTTTAAATTTTTTCATTTTCAGTTTCTACAATTTTTGATTTGCAATATTTCTTGTTTTCATTTTACATATGTATTTAATAATAACTGTGATTTTTTATTTTTGTTCACTTTTCATTTTTACGATTTTAGATTTTTCCATTTTTCATTTATGTATTTGATTTTTCAGTTTTTCGATGTTTAATTTTTCAGTTTCTGAAAATTAGTTTTCCAGGTTTTCGATTTTTCAGTGTTACAATTTTCGACATTACAATTTTGACGATTGTAGAATTCATCGTTTTACAGTTTCGGGTTTTCGAAGTTTCTCGATTTTAAATTTTTGAATGTTTCAATTTTTCAGATTTTCGAAAAAAAAGAAAAATTCGCCAAATTGTAAAGCTGAAAACACAAAAATGAAAAAAGAGGAAGTATAAAATAAAAAAAAACTAAGGAAATGAAACTCTGATAAAATTGAAATTAAAAAACCAAAAATTATAAAATCGAAACATTGTAAAACTTGATAATGAAAAAATTAAGAAAATGGACAACTGAAACGAAAAATTGAGAAATTGAAAATTGAACAAATGCAAATCGAAAGATGCAAAAAGCCAAAATTAGACCCACTTCACAATGAAAAAAGTTTAATTATAAAATCAGAACAATAAAAGCCCGAAAAATTTAACAACTGAAGGAATAAAAAACCTAAACGAAAAGTTGTAAATCGAAAAACTGAAAAAGCAAAAAATTCAAAAATCAAACATCTGAAATATCCAAAAGTTGGAAAATCAAAAAACTGAAAAATTTTAAAATGAACACGCAAGTAGTTGCATTTGGTAAAATTAAAAACCCAAAAAGTAAAAAAATTTAAATTAAAAAATACATGAAAAATTCTTTAAATCCACTTATTGAAAAATGGAAAAATTCTAAACGAAAATTTAAAAAATTTAAAAGTTGAAAACTCGGTAAACTGTGAATGTGTGAAAAAATTTTAAAACCCAATATCTGAAAAACGGAAAAGTTCTAAAATCATAAAATCGAAAAGTGGTAAATTTTCCAAGTCATAATTATTATTAAATACACATTTAAAATGATAACTAGAAAAATTGCAAATCAAAAAATGTAGACGCTAAAAATTGAAAAATTTTTTCTGTTTTTCCAACTATTGGATATCTCAGTTTTTAGATTTTGCAATTTTTCGGTTTGTAATTTCACGAGATTTCAGTTTTTTGATTTTTCAATTTTTTATTTTTTCAATTTTTCGTTTAGATTTTTATTGTTTATTTTTATATTATATCTTTGGGTTTTTCCATCTTTCGATGTGCAATTTTTCGATTTTCAATTTGTCAATTTTTCAACTTTCAAATTTTTTCATTTTCATCAGTTTCTACAATTCTTGATTTGCAAATTTCTAGTGTTCATTTTACTTATGAATTTAATAACATTTATGATTTTTAAAATTCGTTCACTTTTTATATGTATATAATAAACAGTATAGGTCTTAATACAGATCGTTGTGCCACCTCACAATAAGTTTCGAACTTGGATGAATTTACACCGTTTAAGTTTATTGATGTCTATCTTATGCCTGAAGGTTATCAGAAACCTAAAATCGCAAAAAATTTTATATTTTTTTAAAGAAACGTGTGTGGTAAAATCCCGTTTCAGTGTGTTATAAACAAAACAAACTTCTAGTAAACAAAATGATTTTCAGTTAAACACTTTCAAACGATCGGCAAAAAATTGAGAAATCGTATCATTGAAACATCGGAAAATTGAGAAATCGAAAAATAAAAAAATCGAGTAATCGAAAATTTGAAGAATGGAAAAATTAAAGGAGCCCAAAACTGAAATATTGAAAAATTAAGACATCTAAAGTTGAAAAATCGAGAAATCGAAAAATGGAAATATTGAAATGAAAAATGGATAAATCGTAAAATCTTATCGTAGCAGCTACTAGCCCCGCCCACCCATACTATAATACAAAGAGCGATAATACAATACTAGACAATAAAAATACCGAGAAGGTGAAAATAACGATAAACTAAACAATATTCTGGTAAACAAAATTAATGTTATCGACTTTTGACCTCCGAACTCACCATGAACTAGAGCTTGCATCTTTTAAATAACCCCGAGTGACTTTCAGTTAAACACGTTGAAAACGATCGGCAAAATGTGGTGTACTTTTGTCTTCGTGTTGGTCATCGTTGTAGTGTGTTACTGTGAGGAGGTAGGTATTTATGACCAACTACGGTCATATTTTACAGCAGATTTCGTATTCTTCCAGATTTTTATTAGCTCCACAATCACCCCTGACACAGAACACCAAAGACTAATAAACATTCTCGACACCTTGAACGAGAAAGTGGAACTACAGTCGACAATCAGAGAAATTAATCACCGTTTAGAAAATCTAGAAAAGCAGTTCACTTCTGTAGCCACCTCTTGCGAAATCAGTCGTCATTTAGAAAAACCGAAGCCAACACTGGTGACAACTGATTCAATGAAAATCAATAAAACGAAAGAAATTGTCGAAAGTTTAAAGAAAATCGAGCTGCAAATCACCGAATTGAAAAATTCAGGAGAAACTTTCCCCACAGGAAAGACTATTCCGGAAAACTGTCTAGAATTAAAAAATCGTGGAATTAATGCCACTGGTATTTTTCTCGTTAAACCCAAATTCGCGTCTGCCCCTTTTCTGGCAGCTTGCGATATGACCACAAAAGGCGGCGGGTGGACCCTCATTCTAAGCAGATTCGACGGAAGTGTGGATTTTTATTTAGATTGGCAGAGCTACAAACTCGGTTTTGGAAATCTGGCTGAAGAATTCTGGCTAGGTTTGGAAAACATTCATCAATTGTCTGGTAAGTTTAAGGTCCTGCAAGTCAAGAAATAACAGTTGTTTGAGGTTACGAAGTCAATGAGCTACTCGTGGAGTTAGTGGATTCCGACAACAAAGAAACTTATGCTAATTACAAGCAATTTAGTGTTGCTAGTGAGCTGGAAGGTTACGCTTTGAAAACACTAGGAGGGTTTAGCGGAACTGCGGAAAATGGTCTTCGTTATCACGCTGGTATGAAATTTACCACAAAAGACAAAGATCAGGATCCTTATGTACATGACACTGGCAATTGTGCACAATCTTTTAGTAAGTAGAGTTGGAATTTAACGCTGTTAGATAGTTGTGATGGTACTGATGATGACTGTTTATAGCCGGAGCTTGGTGGTATAATAAATGCCACCAGAGTCAACTCACTGGTGTTTACTCAGAAAAAACAGACAAATACAAAGGAGTTCGCTGGGGGGAAAAATATTATTTGAAGAAAGCCAGAATGCTAATCAGGCCACAGATGGTATTATGATGGTATCTTTGGTATTATAAATTCTTACAAATATTTTAATTACATCTGTTAAAAATATATAATTTTTTTTATTTTATAATGTATCTGATAAATTTCCATATTTTTGGAGAACATCTCAAAATGTATAAATCCAGAACGAATTACTCCATTTTCCCGAAAATTTGGCAATTCAATACGTGTCCTTGATGAAGTCAACACAGATTTTTTTCGTTTTTCGATTCTCCATGTTCCTGATTTTCATTTTTCATTTTCCCGATTTTTTAAATTTCATTTCATCGATTTTCCAGTTTTTCAATTCCTCGTTTCTTCAATTGTTTTTATTTTGTGCTTTTTTACAATTTTTATATTTTTTTCGAAAAGTTGGATAATCGAAATACAAAAAAATCGGAAAAAATTGAACCATTGAAAAACTAAAAAACCTGGAAAAACTGAAAATGTAAAATCGATGAATTCGATTAAAAATGTAACACTGAAAGTCGAAAAATTGAAAAATTGAAAATTGAAGAATTGCAAACGGCACAAATTTTAAAACTCATCATTTGTTATTAAATACATATGTAAAATGAAAACTAGAAAAATTCAAAAAACGAAAAATTAAAAAATTTAAAAGTTGAAAACTCGGTAAACTGAAAACCGAAAAATAGCAAATCAAAAGATTGAAAAATCCAGAAATTGAAAAATATCACATAGAAAAGAAACAATTACAAAATTAGAACACTGAAAAACCGAAAAATTGAACAACTGATGAAATTAAAAAACCTAAACTATGAATTGCAAATCGAAAAATTGAAGAAATGAAAAATTGCAAAATCTAAAAACTGAAATTTTTAAAAGTTGGAAAATCGAGAAACTAAAAAATTTAAAAATGAAAACTCGAATTATGATATCGTAAAATTGAAAAACTGAAAAATAAAAAATAAAATAATAAAATTTGCAAAATCGACAAATTGAAAACCGACAAACTGCAAATCGAAAGTTTGAAAAATCCAAAAATTGAAAAATTTTACATTGAAGAAAAATAAATATAAAATCAGAACAATAAGAAACCGAAAAATTTAACAAATGAAGGAAATACGAACCGAAACGAAAAGTTGAATAATGAAGAAAATTAAAAATGGAAAAATTGAATACCTCGTGAAATGGCACATAGAAAAATTGCAAAATCTAAAACTGAACAATTTAAAGTTGAAAACTAACCTTTCTAGTTTTCGTTTTAAAATTTTTCAATTTTTTCCAACAACTGGATATTTTAATTTTTCGATTTGTAATTTCACGAGAGGTTTCAGTTTTTTGATTTTTCAAATTTTCATTTCTTCTTTTTTTCTTTAGGTTTTTCATTTTCTTCAGTTGTTGAATTTTTCGGTTTTTCATTGTTCTGTTTTTTGAACTTTCAATTTGTCAATTTTTCAACTTTTAAATTCTTTCACTTTCAGTTTCTACAATTTTTGATTTGCAATATTTCTTGTTTTCATGTTACATATGTATTTAATAATAATTATGATTTTTTTAGGTTTGTTCACTTTTCATTTTTACGATTTTTCAATAATTGTATTAATATATATTTTTTCATTTATATATTTGATTTTCCAATTTTTCGATTTTTAATTTTTCAGTTTCTGGATATTTAGTTTTTCAGGTTTTCGATCTTTCAGTGATACAGTTTTCGACATTACAATTTTGACGATTGCATAATTCATCGTTTTACATTTTCGGGTTTTCGAAGTTTCTCGATTTTTAGTTTTTCAATGTTTCAATTTACAACTTTTTGAAAAAAAAGAAAAAACTGCCAAATTGCAAAACTGAAAACCCAAAAATGAAAAAGGAGAAAGTATAAAACAAAAAAATTGAAATTAAAAAATATATATATAAAATCGAAACATTGTAAAACTTGATAATGAAAAAATTAAGAAAATGGAAAACTGAAACGAAAAATTGAGAAACTAAAAATGAAAACTCGAGAAACTCAAATCGAAAAACTGAAGAAATGAAAAATTGAAAAATCGAAAAACTAAAAAATTTAAAAATGTAAACACGAATTATAATTTCGTAAAATTGAAAGTCGAAATACTGAAAAATTAACATTGAAAAAATATGTGAAAAAATTTTAAAATCCAATAACCGAAAAACGAAAAAGTTCTAAAATCATAAAACCGAAAAAGTAGTAAATTTTCTAAATCATAAATATTATTAAATACACATTTAAAATGAAAACTAGAAAAATTGCAAATCAAAAAATTTGAAATAATTAAAAGTTGAAAAATCGACAAATTGAAAACCGACAAAATGCAAGTCAAAAGATTGAAAAATCCAAAAACTGAAAAATTTTACAAAGAAAAAAAAATATATATATATAAAATCAGAACAATAAGAAACCAATACATTGAACAAATGAAGGAAATACAAACCTAAACGAAAAGTTGAATATTGAAGAAATGAAACATTGAAAAATGGAAAAATACCTCGTAAAATGACAAATAGAAAAACTGCAAAATTTAAAAATTGAAACACCAAAATGTTGAAAAATCGAAAACCGAAAAATTTAAGAACGAAAACTAACGTCTCTAGTTTTCATTTTTAAATTTTTCAGTTTTTCCAACAATTAGATATTTTAATTTTTATACTTTGCAATTTTTCGATTTGTAATTACACTAGAGGTTTAAGTTTTTTGACACTTCAATTTTTGATTTCTTCTTTTTCCTTTAGGTTTTTTTATTTTCTTCAGTTGTTGAATTTTTCGGTTTTTCATTGTTTTGTTTTTTGAACTTTCAAGTTGTCAATTTTTCAACTTTTGAATTTTTTCATTTTCAGTTTCTACAATTTTTTATTTGCAGTATTTCTTGTTTTCATGTTACATATGTATTTAATAATAATTATGAGTTTTTAAGTTTGTTTACTTTTCATTTTTACGATTTTTCAATAATTGTATTAATATATATTTTTTCATTTATGTATTTGAATTTTCAATTTTTGGATTTTTAATTTTTCAGTTTCTGGATATTTAGTTTTTCAGGTTTTCGATCTTTCAGTGTTACAGTTTTCGACGTTACAATTTTGACGATTGTATAATTGAATGACTGAAAAACAGCAAAGTTCTAAAATTATAAAACTGAAAAAGTGTCAAATTTTCTAAATCATAATTATTATTAAATACACATTTAAAACGAAAATTTTAAAAATTGCAAATCAAAAAATATAACGCGAAAAATTGAAAAATTTAAAATCGAAAACATAAAAATTTAACAATGAAAACTAACGTCTCTAGTTTTCATTTTTAAATTTTTTAGTTTTTCCAACTATTGGATATCTCACTTTTTAAATTTTGCACTTTTTCGATTTGTAATTTCACGAGATTTCAGTCTTTGGATTTTTCAATTTTTTATTTTTCCGTCTTTCGATTTGCAATTTTTCAATTTTCAATTTGCCAAGTTTTCAACTTTAAAATTTTTTGATTTTCATCAGTTTCTACAATTTTTGATTTGCAAATTTCTTGCATCTTTGGATTTGCAATTTTTCGATTTTCAATCTGTTAATTTTTCAACTTTAAAATTTTTTCATTTTCATTAGTTTTAGTTAGTCAATTTTTGATTTTCAAATTTCTTGTGTTCATGTTACATATGTATTTAATAATAATTATGATTTTTTAAGTTTGTTCACTTTTCATTTTTACGATTTTTCAGTAATTGTATTAATATATTTTTTTTTCATTTATGTATTTGATTTTTCAATTTTTGGATTTTTAATTTTTCAGTTTCTGGATATTTAGTTTTTCAGGTTTTCGATCTTTCAGTGTTACAGTTTTCGACGTTACAATTTTGACGATTGTGTAATTCATCGTTTTACATTTTCGGGTTTTCGAAGTTCGTCGATTTTTAGTTTTTCACTGCTTCAATTTTTCGTTTCTCGGTTCTTCGATCTGAAATGTTTCAATTTTTCAACTTTTCGAAAAAAAAGGAAAAATTGCCAAATTGTAAAACGGAAAACTCAAAAATGAAAAAATAGGAAGTGTAAAATAAAAAAGTTGAGAAAACGAAACTATGAAAAAATTGAAATTAAAAAAAACGAAAATTATAAAATCGAAACATTGCAAAACGTGATAATGAAAAAATTAATAAAATGGAAAACTGAAACGAAAAATTGGGAAATTAAAAATGAAAAACTCGAGAAACTCAAATCGAAAAACTGAAAAAATAAAAACTAAAAATCGACAAACTAAAAAATTTTAAAATGTAAACACGAATTAGAATATCGTAAAATCGAACAACTGTGTGAAAAAAATTTCAAATCCAATGACTGAAAAATAGAAAAGTTCTAAAATTATAAAACTGAAAAAGTGGTCAATTTTCTAAATCATAATTTTTAGTAAATACAGATTTAAAATGAAAACTAGAAAAATTGCAAAACAAAAAATGTAAAAAATGTAGACGCGAAAAAGTGAAAAATTTAAAATCGAAAACTGAAAAATTTAAGAACGTAAACTAACGTCTCTAGTTTTCATTTTTACATTTTTTGGTTTTTCCAACTATTGGATATCGCAGTTTTTAGATTTTGCAATTTTTCGATTTGTACTTTCACGAGGCTTCAGTTTTTTGATTTTTCAATTTTCGATTTGCAATTTTTCGTTTAGGTTTTTTATTTTCTTATTGAATTTTTAGGTTTTTCATTGTTCTATTTTTGGGTTTTTCCATCTTTCGATTTGCAATTTTTCAATTTTCAATTTGTCAATTTTTCAACTTTAAATTTTTTTTATTTTCAGCTTCTACAATTTTTGATTTACAATATTTCTTGTTTTCATTTTACATTTTTGAATTTTTCGGTTTTTCATTGTTTTGTTTTTTGTACTTTCAAGATGTCAATTTTTCAACTTTTGAATTTTTTCATTTTCAGTTTCTACAATTTTTTATTTGCAGTATTTCTTGTTTTCATGTTACATATGTATTTAATAATAATTATGAGTTTTTTAGTTACTTCACTTTTCATTTTTACGATTTTTCAATAATTGTATTAATATATATTTTTCATTTATGTATTTGAATTTTCAATTTTTGGATTTTTAATTTTTCAGTTTCTGGATATTTAGTTTCTCAGGTTTTCGATCTTTCAGTGTTACAGTTTTCGACGTTACAATTTTGACGATTGTATAATTGAATGACTGAAAAACAGCAAAGTTCTAAAATTATAAAACTGAAAAAGTGTCAAATTTTCTAAATCATAATTATTATTAAATACACATTTAAAACGAAAATTTTAAAAATTGCAAATCAAAAAATATAACGCGAAAAATTGAAAAATTTAAAATCGAAAACATAAAAATTTAACAATGAAAACTAACGTCTCTAGTTTTCATTTTTAAATTTTTTAGTTTTTCCAACTATTGGATATCTCACTTTTTAAATTTTGCAATTTTTCGATTTGTAATTTCACGAGATTTCAGTCTTTGGATTTTTCAATTTTTTATTTTTCCGTCTTTCGATTTGCAATTTTTCAATTTTCAATATGCCAATTTTTCAACTTTAAAATTTTTTGATTTTCATCAGTTTCTACAATTTTTGATTTGCAAATTTCTTGCATCTTTGGATTTGCAATTTTTCGATTTTCAATCTGTCAATTTTTCAATTTTCAAATTTTTTCATTTTCATTAGTTTTAGTTAGTCAGTTTTTGATTTTCAAATTTCTTGTGTTCATGTTACATATGTATTTAATAATAATTATGATTTTTTAAGTTTGTTCACTTTTCATTTTTACGATTTTTCAATAATTGTATTAATATATTTTTTTTCATTTATGTATTTGATTTTTCAATTTTTGGATTTTTAATTTTTCAGTTTCTGGATATTTAGTTTTTCAGGTTTTCGTTCTTTTAGTGTTACAGTTTTCGACGTTACAATTTTGACGATTGTATAATTCATCGTTTTACATTTTCGTATTTTCGAAGTTCCTCGATTTTTAGTTTTCACTGCTTCAATTTTTCGTTTCTCAGTTTTTCGATCTGAAATGTTTCAATTTTTCAACTTTTCGAAAAAAAAGAAAAAATTGCCAAATTGTAAAACGGAAAACTCAAAAACGAAAAAATAGGAAGTGTAAAATAAAAAAGTTGAGAAAACGAAACTATGAAAAAATTGAAATTAAAAAAACGAAAATTATAAAATCGAAACATTGCAAAACGTGATAATGAAAAAATTAATAAAATGGAAAACTAAAACGAAAAATTGAGAAATTAAAAATGAAAAACTCGAGAAACTCAAATCGAAAAACTGAAGAAATAAAAACTAAAAATCGACAAACTAAAAAATTTTAAAATGTAAACACGAATTAGAATATCGTAAAATCGAACAACTGTGTGAAAAAAGTTTCAACCAATGAATGAAAAATAGAAAAGTTCTAAAATTATAAAACTGATAAAGTGGTCAATTTTCTAAATCATAATTTTTAGTAAATACAGATTTAAAATGAAAACTAGAAAAATTGCAAAACAAAAAATGTAAAAAATGTAGACGCGAAAAAGTGAAAAATTTAAAATCGAAAACTGAAAAATTTAAGAACGTAAACTAACGTCTCTAGTTTTCATTTTTACATTTTTTGGTTTTTCCAACTATTGGATATCGCAGTTTTTAGATTTTGCAATTTTTCGATTTGTACTTTCACGAGGTTTCAGTTTTTTGATTTTTCAATTTTCGATTTGCAATTTTTCGTTTAGGTTTTTTATTTTCTTATTGAATTTTTAGGTTTTTCATTGTTCTATTTTTGGGTTTTTCCATCTTTCGATTTGCAATTTTTCAATTTTCAATTTGTCAATTTTTCAACTTTAAATTTTTTTTATTTTCAGCTTCTACAATTTTTGATTTACAATATTTCTTGTTTTCATTTTACATTTTTGAATTTTTCGGTTTTTCATTGTTTTGCTTTTTGTACTTTCAAGTTGTCAATTTTTCAACTTTTGAATTTTTTCATTTTCAGTTTCTACAATTTTTTATTTGCAATATTTCTTGTTTTCATGTTACATATGTATTTAATATTAATTATGAGTTTTTTAGTTACTTCACTTTTCATTTTTACGATTTTTCAATAATTGTATTAATATATATTTTTTCATTTATGTATTTGAATTTTCAATTTTTGGATTTTTAATTTTTCAGTTTCTGGATATTTAGTTTTTCAGGTTTTCGATCTTTCAGTGTTACAGTTTTCGACGTTACAATTTTGACGATTCTATAATTGAATGACTGAAAAACAGCAGAGTTCTAAAATTATAAAACTGCAAAAGTATCAAATTTTCTAAATCATAATTATTATTAAATACACATTTAAAACGAAAATTTTTAAAATAGCAAATCAAAAAATATAACGCGAAAAATTGAAAAATTTAAAATCGAAAATATAAAAATTTAACAATGAAAACCAACGTCTCTAGTTTTCATTTTTAAATTTTTCAGTGTTGCCAACTATTGGATATCTCAATTTTTAGATTTTGCAATTTTTCGATTTGTAATTTCACGAGATTTCAGTCTTTGGATTTTTCAATTTTTTATTTTTCCGTCTTTCGATTTGCAATTTTTCAATTTTCAATATGCCAATTTTTCAACTTTAAAATTTTTTGATTTTCATCAGTTTCTACAATTTTTGATTTGCAAATTTCTTGCATCTTTGGATTTGCAATTTTTCGATTTTCAATCTGTCAATTTTTCAACTTTCAAATTTTTTCATTTTCATTAGTTTTAGTTAGTCAATTTTTGATTTTAAAATTTCTTGTGTTCATATTACATATGTATTTAATAATAATTATGATTTTTTAAGTTTGTTCACTTTTCATTTTTACGATTTTTCAATAATTGTATTAATATATTTTTTTTCGTTTATGTATTTGATTTTTCAATTTTTGGGGTTTTAATTTTTCAGTTTCTGGATATTTAGTTTTTCAGGTTTTCGATTTTTCAGTGATACAGTTTTCGACATTACAATTTTGACGATTGCATAATTCATCGTTTTACATTTTCGGGTTTTCGAAGTTTCTCGATTTTTAGTTTTTCAATGTTTCAATTTACAACTTTAAAAAAAAAGAAAAAATTGCCAAATTGTAAAACTGAAAACCCAAAAATGAAAAAGGAGAAAGTATAAAACAAAAAAATTGAAATTAAAAAATATATATACAAAATCGAAACATTGTAAAACTTGATAATGAAAAAATTAAGAAAATGGAAAACTGTAACGAAAAATTGAGAAACTAAAAATGAAAACTCGAGAAACTCAAATCGAAAAACTGAAGAAATGAAAAATTGAAAAATCGAAAAACTAAAAAATTTAAAAATGTAAACACGAATTATAATTTCGTAAAATTGAAAGTCGAAATATTGAAAAATTAACATTGAAAAAAATATGTGAAAAAATTTTAAAATCCAATAACCGAAAAACGAAAAAGTTCTAAAATCATAAAACCGAAAAAGTAGTAAATTTTCTAAATCATAAATATTATTAAATACACATTTAAAATGAAAACTAGAAAAATTGCAAATCAAAAAATTTAAAATAATTAAAAGTTGAAAAATCGACAAATTGAAAACCGACAAAATGCAAGTCAAAAGATTGAAAAATCCAAATACTGAAAAATTTTACAAAGAAAAAAAAAATATATATATATAAAATCAAAACAATAAGAAACCAATACATTGAACAAATGAAGGAAATACAAACCTAAACGAAAAGTTGAATATTGAAGAAATGAAACATTGAAAAATGGAAAAATATCTCGTGAAATGACAAATAGAAAAACTGCAAAATTAAAAAATTGAAACACCAAAACTAACGTCTCTAGTTTTCATTTTTAAATTTTTAATTTTTTCCAACTATTGGATATCTCAGTTTTTAGATTTTGCAATTTTTAGATTTGTAATTTCACGAGGTTTCAGTTTTTTTTTATTTTTTTTATTTTCGATTTGCAATTTTTCGTTTAGGGTTTTTATTTTTTTATTGAGTTTTTCGCTTTTTCATTGTCCTATCTTTGGGTTTTTCCATCTTTCGATTTGCAATTTTTCACTTTTCAATTTGTCAATTTTTCACCTTTCAAATTTTTTCTTTTTCATCAGTTTCTACAATTTTTGATTTTCAAATTTTATTTTACATATGGATTTATTAATTTATTAAATAATTATGATTTTTAAAATTCGTTTACTTTTTATGTGTATATAATAAACAGTATAGGTCCTAATACAGATCCTTGTGCCACCTCACAATAAGTTTCGAACTTGTCTATCTTATAAAGATTATCAGAAACCTAAAATCGCAAAAATTTTTTTATTTTTTTAAAGAAACGTGTGTGGCAAAATCCCGTTTCAGTGTGTCATAAACAAAACAAATTTCTAGTAAACAAAATTATTGTTGTAAACTTTTGACCTCCGAGCTGACCATGAACTGGAACTTGCATCTTTTAAATAACCCCGAGTGACTTTCAGTTAAACGCTTTCAAACGATCGGCAAAATGTGGTGTACTTTCGTCTTTGTGTTGATCATCGTTGTAGTGTGTAACTGTGAGGAGGTAGGTATTTATGACCAACTAGGGTCATATTTATAGCAGATTTCATATTCTTCCAGGTTTCTGTTAGCTCTACCATCACCCCTGACACCGAACACCAAAAACTAAGAAACATTCTTAACACCTTGAACGAGAAAGTGGAACTACAATCGACAATCAGAGAAATTAACCATCGTTTAGAAAATCTGGACAAGCATTACGCGGAAAGCAAACTCAGTCCTGGAACTACTTGTAACGAAGTCAGTCGTAAATTGGAAAGGATCGAAGAGAAGCTAACACTTAACACAACCGATTCTACGAGAGAATTTGACGAAAGATTGAAAAAACTCGAACTACAAATTGCCGATCTACAAAACCATCCTAAGGTAGTACCTGAAACCACCACTATCCCGGAAAATTGTCTAGAAGTAAAGAATCGTGGAAATAATGTGTCTGGTATTTTTCTAATTAAACCCCAATTCGCGTACTCCCCTTTTCTAGTGGTTTGCGATATGACAACGAGGGGTGGTGGGTGGACAGTCATTCTAAACAGATTCGACGGAAGTGTGGATTTTTATTTAGACTGGCAAAGCTATAAACTTGGTTTTGGCAATCTCGCTGGAGAATTCTGGTTAGGTTTGGAAAAGATTCATAAATTGTCTGGTAAGTTTAAAGTTTGGTTGGACAAGAAATTACCAATTGTTTGTTAGGTTATCAAGTCAACGAGCTACTAGTCGAATTAGTGGAGTCCGACAACAAAGAAGCCTATGCTAGTTACCAACAGTTTAGTGTTGCTAGTGAAGTGGAAGGTTATGCTTTGCAGACGGTGGGAGGGTTTAGCGGGACTGCGGAAGATTCGCTAACTTATCATGCTGGTTTAAAATTTACCACGAAGGACAAAGACCAGGATCCTCATCCAGGACTAAATTGTGCACAGTCTGACAGTGAGTAGTACTGTAATTGAATATTCTTAATTGTGATTTGTCTTTGATAGATGGAGGTTGGTGGTATGGGGAATGCCACAGGAGTCATCTCACTGGTGTTTATAGAGAACAAACACACAAATATAGAGGAATGCGCTGGGGGGAAAGATATTATTTGAAAAAGGCCAAAATGCTGATTAAGCCACAACTGGATTCCTCGTTGGTATTATGAACACTCGGAGTCTCTCAAAAAATATCTTAATTACTAAAGATTTTGATTGTAGATAAATGCATGAAAGTTGTATATAAATGTGCGTCTGAGAAAATCCTTTTATTTGAGCCTTAGTTGTGTTCGCCTAATTTTTTCTAAATTTTGAATTTTCCAGTACTATAAAGAAAGATAATCCAACCTGAGTTTTGGGTAAAAGAGTCGGCGGAATTCGATAACCTAAATCTAGTCTACGACGTCGCCTGAGAACTTGTTTGATCTACAGACCAGAGCGCACTCAGGCCAGTATCGACCCTAAGCGATTTATCTATTAACTGACTTTCGCAAACACGGCATTGAGATTTTTAGGCTTTTCGATTTCTCGATTTTTTCCATTCTTCAAATTTTCGATTACTCGATTTTTTTATTTCTCGATTTCTCAATTTTCCAAATTTTAAATTTCTTTAAATTTTTTGAATATTTCTTTCAGTCATGGAATATTTCAATATTGCGGTTTTTTTAACTGCTGAATTTCTTTTGATTTCCCGAAAATGTAGATTTTTCAATTTTTCGACTGTTTCATGCTTCGCTTTCTCATTTTTTTAACTTTTCGATGTTTTAATTTTTCAAGTTTTAAAATTGTAGGTTTTTCGATTTGTCGACTTTTCAGATCTTCTAATTTCAATTTTCCCGAATTTTTAAACTTTCGATTTTCATTTTTTTGATTTCTCGATTTATCAATGTTTAACTTTTTTTCTCGGCTTTCGACTCCTCGATTTCTCGATTTTTTGGTATAAATTTTTTGATTTTCCCAATTCTCGATTTCCCAAAGTTTCGATCTTTCAGTTCTTCAGTTCTTCAATTTTTCGATTTTCAGGTTTTTGATTTTTCAATTTTTCTTCTATTTTTCAATTCTTCTGGATTTTTTGATTTCCCAACTTATCACATTTTAGATTTTCGTTTTTAAACTTCAGGTTTTTCGATTTTTCGTGTTTTCAGTTCTTCTATATTTCAATTTTTCAGTTTTCGGAATTTTAAAATTTTCGATGTTCCATTTTTTTCATTTTTCTATTTTCCAATTTTTCTATTTTCCAATTTTTCGATGTTTCTATTTTCCAATTCTTCGATGTTTCTATTTTTCAATTGTCCGATTGTTCGATCTCTCGATTTTCCTATTTTAATTATTTTGATTTTTTCATGTTTGGATTACTCGATTTTACAATTTTACTATATTTGAATTTTTCAATGCTTTAAATTTTAGATTTTTCGATTTATCGGTTTTTCAACTTTAGATGTCTCAATTTTTCATTATTTCAATTTTGGGCTTCTTCAATTTTTCCATTCTTCAAATTTTCGATACACGATTCTTTAATTTTCGATTTCTCAATTTTCCGATGTTTCAATGATAAAATTTTTCAATTTTTTTAAATTTTGACTATTCTAAATTTTCAATTTTTTTCGATTTTTCACTTCAATTTTTCGATTTTTTAGGCTTACGATTTTTCGACTAAATTTTTTGACTTTTCCATTTCTCGACTTCCCAAAGTTTCGATCTTATAGTTCTTCAGTTCTTCAATTTTTCGATTTTCAGGTTTTCGATTTTTCAATTTTTCTTCTATTTTTCAATTCTTCTGGATTTTTCGATTTCTCGACTTTTCACTTTTTGGATTTTCGTTTTTTAAACTTCAGATTTTCAATGTTTCATCTCTTTTATAGGTACTACGTCTATTTCTCAATGTTTCAACTTATGGATATTTTAAATTTTCAGTTTTTAAAATTTCAGGTTTTTCGATTTCTCGTGTTTTCAGTTCATCTGTATTTCAGTTTTTCAATTTTTGGAATTTTTAAATTTTTGATTTTCCATTTTTTGTTCATTTTTCTATTTTCCAATTTTTCGATGTTTCGATTTTCCAATTGTCCGATTGTCCAATCTCCCGATTTTCCTATTTTAATTTTTTTTATTTTTTCAAGTTTGGATTCCTCGAATTTATAATTTTTCTATATTTAAATTTTTCAATGTTTTAAATTTTAGATTTTCCGATTTATCGATTTTTCATTTCAAAATCTCGATTTTTTAACTTTAGATGTCTCAATTTTTCAATATTTTTCCATTCTTCAAATTTTCGATTACTCGATTTCTTTATTTTTGGATTTCTCAATTTTTCGATGTTTCAATGATATGATTTCTCAGTTTTTATCCTCTTCAATTTTACGGGTTTTAAATATTTCGATTTTTCAATTTTTTCAAATTTTGACTATTCTAAATTTTCAGTTTTTTCGATTTTTCAGTTCTTCAATTTTTCGATTTTCAGCTTTTTGATTTTTCAATTTTTCTTCTATTTTTCATTTTTTTAGTATTTCGACTTTTCGATTTTTCGACTTCTGGATTTTTCGATTTCTCGACTTTTCACTTTTTGGATTTTCGTTTTTTCAACTTCCGAATTTTCAATTTTTCAACTCGATTTCTCAATGTTTCAGCTAATTGATATTTTAACTTTTCAATTTTTACAATTTCAGGTTTTTCGATTTCTCGTGTTTTGAGTTCTTCTATATTTCAATTTCTCAATTTTTGTCCTCTTCAATTTTACGGTTTTTAAATTTTTCGATTTTTCAATTTTTCAAATTTTGACTATTCTAAATTTTCAGTTTTGCGATTTCTGAAGTAATCTTTTTTTATTTTTCCGTTTACTGACTTCCTAAATTTTCGATTTTTCAGTTCTTCAATTTTTCGATTTTTTAGGCTTACGTTTTTCGACTTTGCTGTTTTAGTATTTTGATTTCTCAATTTCCCAATTTTTAATATTTCTTTCAGTTATGGGATTTTTCAATATTTCGGTTTTTTAGGCTCCTGGATTTTTTCTGATTTCTCGAAAATTTAGATTTTTCAATTTTTCGACAGTTTTATGCTTCGATTTCTCAATTTTTTAACTTTTCGATGTTTTAATTATTCAATTTGTAAAATTGTAAGTTTTCGATTTCTCCTGTTTTCAGTTCTTCTATATTTCTATTTTCCCAAATTTTTAAATTTTCGGTTTTTCAATTTTTTGATTTCTCGATTTATCGAATTCAGATGTTTCGATGTTTTGATCGTTCAGTTTCTTGATTTATCAATTTTTCAATTTTTAACTTTTCTTCTCGGCTTTCGATTTCTCGATTTTTTCATTTTTCAGTTTTTCAGTATTTTTATTTTTCAGTTTTTCAGTGTTTCAAATTTTGACGTTGCTAAATTTTTGATTTTCCCATTTCTCCACTTCCCAAAGTTTCGATCTTTCAGTTCTTCAGTTCTTCAATTTTTCGATTTTCAGGTTTCTGATTTTTCAATTTTTCTTCTAGTTTTCAATTTTTTAGTATTTCGACTTTTCGATTTTTCGGCTTCTAGATTTTTCGATATTTCGTCTTTCCACTTTTTAGATTTTCGTTTTTTCAACTTCCGATTTTTCAATTTTCCAACTCAAATTCTCAATGTTTCAGCTTATTAATATTTGAACTTTTCAATTTTTAAAATTTCAGGTTTTTCGATTTCTCGTGTTTTCATTTATTCTGTATTTCAATTTCTCAATTTTTGTCCTCTTCAATTTTACGGTTTTTAAATATTTCGATTTTTCCATTTTCAAATTTTGACTAATCCAAATTCTTTGTTTTCCGATTTCTGAAGTAGTCTTTTTTTATTTTGCCTTTTATTGACTTCCTAAATTTTCGATTTTTCACTTCTTCAATTTTTCGATTTTTTAGGCTTACGATTTTTCGACTTTGCTGTTTTAGTTTCTCGGTTTCTCAATTTCCCAATTTTTTAATTTCGCAATTTTATGAATATTTTTTCAGTTACGGGATTTTTCAATTTTTCGACAGTTTTATGCTTCGATTTCTCAATTTTTTAACTTTTCGATGTTTTATTACTTCCCGAGCGAAAGCAAAGGAAGTATTGTAATCGAGTCCGTCGGTCGACTCTCTACTTTGACGTTTTCTCGATCTTTCATGACCCCTAGAAGACGAAGAAATAGGTCTCCCATTTCCGTCTGTCTGTCCGTCTGTCCGTCTGTCCGTCTGTCCGTCTGTCCGTCTGTCCGTCTGTCCGTCTGTCCGTCTGTCCGTCTGTCCGTCTGTCCGTCTGTCCGTCCGTCTGTCCGTCCGTCTGCCGTCCCGGATTTTTATTAGACAGATAATCTCCGAAAGTACTCGACCGATTGTTGTGAAATTTTGTACTTATATTAAGAATATCATGTAGATGGTAAAACGCTAACCAAAATTTGTCTAATCATCCCCACCACTAATGCGATGACGTCACTTCAAAATTGTACATAGTAAATGGGTTTTCAATTGTATAAAATAACATAGTCCTACACATGTAGTTTACAACTCTGAATCGACTTTTCACCCGAAACGTCCAGATTTTTGGAAAAAAAATCAAAATTATAAAACAACATTTTGAAATTTAATTTTTAATCTGCTAACCAGAATTCTTTGAAATGTTGTAGATGTTTTAAGGCTATAAAGAGCATCATAAATCTTTAGTCAAAAAATATTTGCTTATCCCCTCCAAAAACTTTATGACGTCAGCTCAAAAGTTTGTGGAATAAATCATATCTAAAATGTACAAAATATGATGAGTCTGTGCTTGTCATTTATCACTCCATTCATATTTTTTGGATTTGCATATACAGAGTGACTCAAAAAAATTAATGAATGCGTAAATATATTTTATTGATTTAATCAGGAACTACAAAACGGAATGCTCTGACATCTTGCAGATGTTTTAAGGTTATAAAGAGCATAATAAATGTTTAGTCAAAATATATTTGGTTATCTTCTACAAAAAACTGATGACGTCAGCTCAAAAGTTTGCCGAATAAATCGTATCTAAAATGTACAAAATATGATGAGTCTGTACTTGTGATTTATCATTCCATTCATATTTTTGGATTTGCATATGCAGGGTGACTCAAAAAAATTAATGAAAGCGTGAATTTATTTTATCGATTTAATCAGGAATTACAAAACCGAATGCTTTGAAATCTTGGGAATATTTTAAAGTTATTATAAGCATGGTAAACTTTTGTTCAAAATGTATTTGTTCATCCCTCCTAAAAAAATTGATGACGTCACCCTTAAATTTTGCTGAATAAATCCTATCTAAAATGCAAAAAATATGATGAGTTTGTACTTGTGATTTATCATTCCATTCATATTTTTTAGATTTTCTTAAGAGGTGGTTCAAAAAAATTAATGAAGTCAATTTATTTTATTGATTAAATTAAAGGCAACACTTATTATTAGTATTACACCCCAACCAACCCAATTTGGTAGACACAAAATTTGTTAAAGGAAAAACTCGGTTGAAACATAAGGGTAGCACGCTTATTTACATCGACTTTAACATTACAGACCTGCATTTGTTTTATGCGCTCACTTGGTTCCGCGAATGTGAAATAGACATGTTTATAATCAACCAATTGTGAATTTCACCGTCAAGAATTAAAATAAAACCCAATGTTTTATATAATAAGCGGAAGTCGAAGCAATAAAACCTATGGTCGTTTGTTTACAGTTTCTCTGTTTGACTCTCACGTATGCTGTTACGCTTGTCATCTTAAATTAAGAATGTTTATACATAAACGATTTTCAGTTGCCTTTCATATTACAGCGGAATTTTGCCGGGCTACGTCACGATTATAGGTGGGGACGCGCTGAATCGCCGGGACTCAGTAGCGGGTGATAGATAATCACTGAATTTAATCAGTACTAATTCCATAAATATAATTAACGATTTATTAATCAAACGGCTAAGTAAATGAGAACGGGAATTAACAGCAGAGTGCAACGAAACAGCGTTATTCTAATCTCAAATAAACGAAGTGCAGTCCGCAACCGCAATGAATTCGCATCCCGTACGAGCCGTACCTAGTTTGGCCTTGCCTAGCCCGACAGAAATCCGCTCTCTAGATATTACACACCGGCGCCGTATACGTGAGTAAATTGTTTCGTTATTTTATTGATTATAAGAAATCAATATTCAAAACGACCCAATTCATTTTCCCGAAAATTTGGGAATACAATAATTTTATTCTTAGTATTACACTACATCTATCCCAACTGATATACGTGTCCTTGCAAAAATGTTGATGACGTCATCACATTTTTTTTTTAAATTCCCACTACAAAAATGTAATGAGAAAAAAAAACACAATAGGCATGCAGTCGTCAAGTTTCCGACATCGAGGGAAGTACTGTCTAAACTCTTTAGACCAATTTTTTTTCTATTTTTAAAATTCTAGGTTTTCCGATTTCTCCAGTTTTTAGTTCTTCTATATTTCAATTTTCCCGAATTTTTAAATTTCAGATTTTTCAATTTGTTGATTTCTCGATTTATCGAATTCCGATGTTTCGATGTCTTGATTGTTCAGTTTCTTGATTTATCAATTTTTCAATTTGGAACTTTTCTTCTCGGCTTTCGATTCCTCGATTTCTCGATTTTTTTATTTTTCAGCTTTTTAGTATTTTTATTTTTCAGTCTTTCAAATTTTGACGTTGCTAAATTTTTTTATTTTCCCATTTCTCGACTTCCCAAAGTTTCGATCTTCAGTTCTTCAGTTCTTCAATTTTTGGATTTTCAGGTTTTTGATTTTTCAATTTGTCTTCTATTTTTCAATTCTTCTGGATTTTTCGATTTCTCGACTTTTCACTTTTTGGATTTTCGTTTTTAAACTTCAGATTTTCAATTTTTCATCTCCTTTATAAGTATACGTCTATTTCTCAATGTTTCAACTTATCGATATTTTAACTTTCCAATTTTTAAAATTTCAGGTTCTTCGATATCTCATGTTTTCAGTTCTTCTATATTTCAATTTTCAATTTTCGAAATTTTTAAATTTTCGATTTTCCATTTTTCTCATTTTTCGAGTTTCCAATTTTTCAATATTTCGATTTTCCAATTGTCCGATTGTTCAATCTCCCGATTTTCCCATTTTAATTTTTTTTATTTTTTCATGTTTGGATTCCTCGATTTTACAATTTTTCTATATTTCAATTTTCCCGAATTTTTAAATTTTTGGTTTTTCAATTTTTTGATTTCTCGATTTATCGAATTCAGATGTTTCGATGTTTTGATTGTTCATATTCTTGATTTATCAATTTTTCAATTTTTAACTTTTCTTCTCGGCTTTCGATTCCTCGATTTCTCGATTTTTTCATTTTTCAGTTTTACAGTATTTTTATTTTTCAGTTTTTCAGCTTTGCAAATTTTGACGTTGCTAAATTTTTGATTTTCCCATTTCTCGACTTCCCAAAGTTTCGATCTTCAAGTTCTTCAGTTCTTCAATTTTTCGATTTTCAGGTTTTTGATTTTTCAATTTTTCTTCTATTTTTCAATTCTGCTGGATTTTTCGGTTTCTCAACTTTCCACTTTTTAGATTTTCGTTTTTAAACTTCAGATTTTCCATTTTTCATCTCTTTTATGGGTACGTCTATTTCTCAATGTTTCAACTTATTGATATTTTAACTTTCCAATTTTTAAAACTTTAAGTTTTTCGATTTCTCGTGTTTTCAGTTCTTCTATATTTCAATTTTTCAATTTTCGGAATTTTTAAATTTTCGATTGTCCGATTGTTCAATCTCTCGATTTTGAAATTTGAGATTTTCCAATTTTAATTTTTTTCATTTTTTACATTTTTCTATATTTAAATTTTTCAACGTTTTAAATTTTAGATTTTTCGATTTATCGATTTTTCATTTCTATATTTCCATTTTTCAATGTTTCGATTTTTTAATTAAGCCATCTTGTTTTTTCGATTTTTAAAATTTTTCGACTTTTGGAGTTTTAGATTTCCCGATTTTTTAAGTTTTCGATTTCTCAATGTGTTCAAGATTATCAGTTTTGGGAACTTTTCAATTTTTTTTTTTTATTTTTCGATTTTTAAAATTTTATTTAGTTATTTTACATTGTAGAGTTAGAACAGATATTGTTGTCATCTCGGCAGCCCCTGACAGCTCGACAAGGAACCGGGCACTCTGCTTGCGCCACGTGTTTCTGTGTTATTTAACCTCAGTTCCATTTAAGCATCAATGAACAAAATATTTACAAGAAAAAAAAACTAGCAAAGATTTATAAAAACAAAAAAAGATCTGGTGATTATAAAAAGTTACGTGAGATTAGGAACTGCAGAGCATGAAAATTTACGTAAGTTAAAATTGTGAGATAGAGAAAAATTGCGAAGTTAACAAATTTACATGAGATTAATATTTTGTGTCCATTCGAGTTATTGGATGAATTTAAAAAGTGAAATTTCAGCGTTAATTTGTGTTAGACTTAGTTAACGATTAAAATCCTAACATGAACTGTGAATTTACAAACAATGAATCAAATTTACACGTGTTAGCGTCAGTCCCAACATGGAAAACGATCAAATAAATCAGTTTTATTGGTTAATTTAGTGATGGAGTTTTCAAGAATGCTCTTGTAGATATACAAATGCTTCTATAAATGCAATAATTACAAAAAAAAGAAAAGATTAACACATTGTAAAGCCGTTTGTCGAGGTACCAAGTCTTCATAGTGTCAAGGAGAGATCCAGTTGTGGTCTAATCAACATTCTGGCCTTTTTCAGATAAAACCTCTCCCCCCATCGAACTCCTTTGTATTTGTCTGTGGCTCCTTTGTAAAGACCAGTCAGTTGACTATGGTGGCATTCACCATACCACCAAGCTCCACCTAAAAAATCACCACCACACTTAACGATTTTCAAGTACAGCGCTACCTACTATACGATTGTGCACAATTTACTCCTGTATGTAAATCTTGGTCTTTGTCCTTAGTAGTAAATTTGAAACCACCATGATAGGCAAACGAATTTTCCGCAGTTCCACTAAACCCTCCCAGCGTTTTCAAAGCATAACCTTCCACTTCACTACCAACACTAAAATGGTCATAACTAGCAAAAGTTTCTTTGTTGTCGGACTCCACTAGTTCGACTAGTAGCTCGTTGACTTGGTAACCTAACAAACAGTTGTTATTTCTTGACCTACAGAAACCTAGACTTACCAGATAATTGATGAATGTTTTCCAAACCTAACCAGAACTCTCCAGCTAGATTCCCAAACCCGACTTTGTAGCTCTGCCAACCTAAATAAAAATCCACTTTTCCATCGAATCTGTTTAGAATGACGGTCCATCCGCCACCTCTCGTGGTCAAATCACAAACCGCCAGAAAAGGGGCAGACGCGAATTTGGGTTTGATTAGGAAAACGCCAGTGACGTTATTTCCACGCTTTTTTACTTCTAGGCAGTTTTCTGGAATAGTCTTTCCTGTGGGGAAAGTTTCTCCTGAATTTTTCAATTCCGTGATTTGCAGCTCCATTTTCTTTAAACTTTCGACAATTTCTTTCGTTTTATTGATTTTCGTAGAATCAGTTGTCACCAGTGTTGGCTTCGGTTTTTCTAAATGACGACTGATTTCACAAGAGGCGGCTACAGAAGTGAACTGCTTTTCTAGATTTTCTAAACGGTGATTAATTTCTCTGATTGTCGATTGTAGTTCCACTTTCTCGTTCAAGGTGTTCAGAATATTTATTAGTTTTTGGCGTTCGGTGTCAGGGGTGATTGTGGAGCTAATAGAAATCTGGAAGAATACGAAATCTGCTGTAAAATATGACCGTAGTTGGTCATAAATACCTACCTGCTCACAGTTACACACTACAACGATGATCGACACGAAGACAAAAGTACACCACATTTTGCCAATCGTTTTCAACGTGTTTAACTGAAAGTCATTCGGGATTATTTAAAAGATGCAAACTCTAGTTCATGGTGAGTTCGGAGGTCAAAAGTCGATAACATTAATTTTGTTTATCAGAACATTGTTTAGTTTATCGTTGTTTTCACTTTCTCGGTATTTTTATTGTATAGTATTGTATTATTGCTCTTTGTATTATAGTATGGGTGGGCGGGGCTAGTAGCTGCTAAGATAAGACTGATTTTGGCATATGGCATATCCGCTAAGAAAATAGAGGGCGGGTGGGCGGGGCTAGTCCGTGTATTCTATTACTCTATTAGCTAGCTATTTTATTGACTAACTAGTTAATCTCTTGAAAAATATTATTATTTACATTTATTATAATATGTTTTTCTATATTTTTTAATATTTTTTTTATTTATTTTGTGGCTGTTCTACTACCCATTACGGTGATTCGCAAGCACTGCCGTAAGCACATTTCCATGACGAACATGTCGTACGAGCAGGCTTTTACAGTCGCATATTCGCGGTTGCGTCTCGGAAGCCCCTGACTACTATTCAAACCTGCATCAGCTCGACAAAGAACCGCGCACTCCGCTTCCGCCACGTGTTTCTGTGTTATTTAACCTCGGTTCTATTTAAGTGTGCGATTTCTATAACTCTGACTTTAAACTACAACTGAACAAGTGACACATTAATCAACAAAATATTTACAAGAAAAAAGAGCAATAAACATTTATTATTATTATTATTATTAAAATTGTGAAGTTAACAAATTTACATGAGATTAATATTTTGTGTCCATTCGAGTTATCGTTTTACATTCCCCCAAACCCAAAAAAACATAGCAGACAATCTGGAGGTTCAAAACGTGCTCAATCCTATGGCGTTGTGCAAATCAAAGGAATAAAATGCGCGCCCCACATGATGCACACTGTTGTTAATTTGTTTAACAAGATTTTACAGTTCAAACATTTGCTCGGTCTGAAAATACCTTTTCAACATGGCCGCTGCCAGAACAAAGAATTTACGTGATGTTAAATTATGCCACACTTTATCAACGATTCAAACAAAGAATTTAAGAAGATTCAAGTCACTGGTTACTTAAAACAATTAGCCTTCAGAGTTTATCTCGGTGATGTGGTGATGATATGATGATAATAAATGCCTAAGTTCGATTTTTCAATTTTTCGAATTTTGACTATTCTAAATTTTCAGTTTTCCGATTTCTGAAGTAATCTTTTTTTTATTTTCCCATTTATTGACTTCCTAAATTTTCGATTTTTCACTACTTCAATTTTTCGATTTTTTTAGGCTTACGTTTTTCACCTTTGCTGTTATAGTTATTCTCCAATTTTTAATATTTCTTTCAGTTATGGCATTTTTCAATATTTCAGTTTTTTCGACTCCTGGATTTTTTTTGATTTCTCGAAAATTTAGATTTTTCAATTTTTCGACTGTTTTATGCTTCGATTTCTCAATTTTTTAAATTTTCGATTTTTCAATTTTTTGATTTCTCGATTTATCGATTTATCGAATTCAGATGTTTTGATCGTTCAGTATCTTGATTTAGCAATTTTCCAATTTTTAACCTTTCTTCTCGGCTTTCGACTCCTCGATTTCTCGATTTTTTCATTTTTCAGTTTTTCAGTGTTTTTATTTTTAAGTTTTTCAAATTTTGACGTTGCTCAATTTTTTGACTTTCCCATTTCTCGACTTCCCAAAGTTTCAGTCTTTCAGTTCTTCAATTTTTCGATTTTCATGTTTTTGATTTTTCCATTTTTCTTCTATTTTTCAATTTTTTAGTATTTCGACTTTCGATTTTTCGACTTCTGGAATTTTCAATTTCTCTTGTTTTCAGTTCTTCTATATTTCAATTTTTCAATTTTCGGAATTTTGAAATTTTCTATTTTCCATTTTTTCATTTTTCGATTTTCCAATTTTTCGATGTTTCGATTTTTCAATTGTCCGATTGTTCACTTTCTCGAATTTCCTATTTCAATTTTCTTGATTGTTTCATGTTTGGATTCCTCAATTTTACATTTTTTCTATATTTGAATTTTTCAGTGTTTTAAATTTTCGATTTTTCGATTTATCGATTTTTCATTTCAATATTTCCATTTATCGATTTCTCGATTTTGCAACTTTAGATGTCTCAATTTTTCAATATTCCAATTTTGGACTTCTTCAATTTTTCCATTCTTCAAATTTTCGATTACTCGATTTTTTTATTTTTCGATTTCTCAATTTTCCGATGTTTCAATAATACGATTTCTCAATTTTTATCCTCTTCAATTTTACGGTTTTTAAATATTTCGATTTTTCAATGTTTTCAAATTTTGACTATTCTAAATTTTCAGTTTTTTGATTTTTCACTTCTTCAATTTTTCGATTTTTTAGGCTTACGATTTTTCGACTGCTGTTTTAGTTTTTCGATTTCTCAATTTCCCAATTTTTTAATTTCCTAATTTTATGAATATTCTTTCAGTTATGGGATTTTTCAATATTTCGGTTTTTTCGACTCCTGGATTTTTTTTCATTTCTCGATTTTTTACTTTTTGGATTTTCAATTTATCATTAAAATTTAGATTTTTCAGTTTTTCGACTGTTTTATGCTTCGATTTCTCAATTTTTTAACTTTTCCATGTTTTAATTTTTCAGTTTTTAAAATTCTAGGTTTTTCGATTTCTCGAGTTTTCAGTACTTCTATATTTCAATTTTCCCGAATTTTTAAATGTTCGATTTTTCAAATTTTTGATTTCTCGATTTATCGAATTCAGATGTTTCGATGTTTTGATTGTTCAGTTTCTTGATCTATCAATTTTTCAAATTTTCAACTCTATTTCTCAATGTTTCAGCTTATTGATATTTTAACTTTTCAATTTTTACAATTTCAGGTTTTTCGATTTCTCGTGTTTTCAGTTTCTCAATTTTTATCCTCTTCAATTTTACGGTTTTTAGATATTTCGATTTTTCAATTTTTTCAAATTTTGACTATTCTAAATTTTCAGTTTTTTTTCGATTTTTCACTTCTTCAATTTTTCGATTTTTTAGGCTTACGATTTTTCGACTGCTGTTTTAGTTTTTCGATTTCTCAATTTCACAATTTTTTAATTTCCCAATTTTATGAATATTCTTTCAGTAATGGGATTTTTCAATTTTTCGACTGTTTTACGCTTCGAGTTTTCAATTTTTTAACTTTTCGATGTTTTAATTTTTCAATTTTTAAAATTTTAGGTTCTCCAGTTTTCAGTTCTTCTATATGTCAATTTTTCCGAATTTTTAATTTTCGATTTTTTAATTTTTTGATTTCTCGATTTATGGAATTCAGATGTTTCGATGTCTTGATTGTTCAGTTTCTTGATTTATCAATTTTTCAATTTTTAACTTTTCTTTTCGGCTTTCGACTCCTCGATTTCCTGATTTTTTCATTTTTCAGTTTTTCAGTATTTTTATTTTTCAGTTTTTCAAATTTTGACGTTGCAAAATTTTTTGATTTTCCCATTCCTCGACTTACTAAAGTTTCGTCCTTTCAGTTCTTCAGTTTTTTAATTTTTCGAATTTCAGGTTTTTGATTTTTCAATTTTTCTTCTACATATTTTTTAATTTTTTAGTATTTCGACTCTTCGATTTTTCGACTTCTGGATTTTTCGATTTCTCGACTTTTCACTTTTTGGATTTTCGTTTTTTCAACCTCCGATTTTTCAATTTTTCAACTGTATTTCTCAATGTTTCAGCTTATTGATATTTTAACTTTTCAATTTTTAAAATTTCAGGTTTTTCGATTTCTCGCGTTTTCAGTTCTTCTATATTTCAATTTTCAATTTTCGGAATTTTTAAATTTTCGATTTTCCATTTGTTTCATTTTTCGATTTTCCAATTTTTCGATGTTTCGATTTTTCAATTCTCCAATTGTTCATTTCAATATTTCAATTTTGGACTTTTTCAATTTTTCCATTCTTCAAATTTTCGATTACTCGATTTTTTTATTTTTCGATTTCTCAATTTTCCGATGTTTCAATGATGCGATTTCTCAATTTTTATCCTCTTCAATTTTACGGTTTTTAAATATTTCGATTTTTCAATTTTTTCAAATTTTGACTATTCTAAATTTTCAGTTTTTTTCGATTTTTTACTTCTTCAATTTTTCGATTTTTTTGGCTTACGATTTTTCGATTTTGCTGTTCTAGTTTTTCGATTTCTCAATTTCCCAATTCTTTTAGCTATGGGATTTTTCAATTTTTCTACTGTTCTACGCTTCGATTTCTCAATTTTTTAACTTTTCAATATTTTAATTTTTCAATTTTTAAAATTCCAGATTTTCGATTTCTCCAGTTTTCAGTTCTTCTATATTTCAATTTTCCCGAATTTTTAAATTTTCGGTTTTTCAATTTTTTGATTTCTCGATTTATCGAGTTCAGATGTTTGTATGTTTTGATTGTTCAGTTTATTGATCTATCAATTTTTCAATTTTTAACTTTTCTTCTTGGCTTTCAACTCCTCGATTTCTCGATTTTTTCAATTTTCAGTTTTTCAGTATTTTTATTTTATATGTATATGTATATTTCATTTCTCGACTTCCAAAGTTTCGATCTTTCAGTTCTTCAGTTCTTCAATTTTTCGATTTTCAGGTCTTTGATTTTTCAATTTTTCTTCTATTTTTCAATTCTTCTGAATTTTTCGATTTCTCGACTTTTCACTTTTTGGATTTTCGTTTTTTAAACTTCAGGTTTTCAGTTTTTCATCTCTTTTATAGGTACGTTTATTTCTCAATGTTTCAACTTTTTGGTATTTTATTTCAATTTTTAAAATTCCAGGTTTCTCGATTTCTCGTGTTTTCAGTTCTTCTATATTTCAATTTTTCAATTTTCGGAATTTTTAAATTTTCGATTTTCCATTTTTTTTTCATTTTACGATGTTTCGATTTTTCAATTGTCCTATTGTTCACTCTCTCGATTTTGAAATTTGAGATTTTCCAATTTTAATTTTTTTGATTTTTCCATGTTTGGATTCCTCGATTTTACAATTTTTCTATATTTGAATTTTTCAATGTTTTAAATTTTAGATTTTTCGATTTATCGATTTTTCATTTCAATATTTCCATTTTTCAATGTTTCGATTTTTTAATTTTGCCATCTTGGTTTTTCGATTTTTAAAATTTTTCGACTTTTCGATTTTTAGATTTCCCGATTTTTTAAGTTTTCGATTTCTCAATGTGTTCAAGATTATCAGTTTTGGGAACTTTTCAATTTTTTTTTTTTTATTTTTCGATTTTTAAAATTTTATTTAGTTATTTTACATTGTAGAGTTAGAACAGATATTGTTGTCATCTCGGCAGCCCCTGACAGCTCGACAAGGAACCGGGCACTCTGCTTGCGCCACGTGTTTCTGTGTTATTTAACCTCAGTTCCATTTAAGAAGCATCAATGTACAAAATATTTACAAGAAAAAAAAACTAGCAAAGATTTATAAAAACAAAAAAACATCTGGTGATTATAAAAAGTTACGTGAGATTAGGAACTGCAGAGCATGAAAATTTACGTAAGTTAAAATTGTGAGATAGAGAAAAATTGCGAAGTTAACAAATTTACATGAGATTAATATTTTGTGTCCATTCGAGTTATTGGATGAATTTAAAAAGTGAAATTTCAGCGTTAATTTGTGTTAGACTTAGTTAACGATTAAAATCCTAACATGAACTGTGAATGAACAAACAATGAATCAAATTTACACGTGTTAGCGTCAGTCCCAACCCGGAAAACAATCAAATAAATCAGTTTTATTGGTTAATTTAGTGATGGAGTTTTCAAGAATGCTCTTGTAGATATACAAATGCTTCTATAAATGCAATAATTACAAAAAAAAGATTAACACATTGTAAAGCCGTTTGTCGAGGTACCAAGTCTTCATAGTGCCAAGGAGAAATCCAGTTGTGGTCTAATTAGCATTCTGGCCTTTTTCAGATAAAACCTCTCCCCCCATCGAACTCCTTTGTATTTGTCTGTGGCTCCTTTGTAAAGACCAGTCAGGTGACTGTTGTGGCATTCACCATACCACCAAGCTCCACCTAAAAAATCACCACCACACTTAACGATTTTCAAGTACAGCGCTACCTACTATACGATTGTGCACAATTTACTCCTGTATGTAAATCTTGGTCTTTGTCCTTGGTGGTAAATTTGAAACCACCATGATACGCAAACGAATTTTCCGCAGTTCCACTAAACCCTCCTAGCGTTTTCAAAGCATAACCTTCCACTTCACTACCAACACTAAAATGGTCATAACTAGCAAAAGTTTCTTTGTTGTCGGACTCCACTAGTTCGACTAGTAGCTCGTTGACTTGGTAACCTAACAAACAGTTGTTATTTCTTGACCTACAGAAACCTAGACTTACCAGATAATTGATGAATGTTTTCCAAACCTAACCAGAACTCTCCAGCCAGATTCCCAAACCCGATTTTGTAGCTCTGCCAACCTAAATAAAAATCCACTTTTCCATCGAATCTGTTTAGAATGACGGTCCATCCGCCACCTCTCGTGGTCAAATCACAAACCGCCAGAAAAGGGGCAGACGCGAATTTGGGTTTGATTAGGAAAACGCCACTGACATTATTTCCACGCTTTTTTACTTCTAGACAATTTTCCGGGATAGTGGTGACTCCGGGTACTGCGTTTAGTAGTTCGGCGAGTTTTTTAAATCTGTCGTCTAAGTCTTTCGTGATATTGACTCTAGAAGCGGTTAGTTTCTGTTCGATGATTTCTAATTTACGACTGACTTCGTTGGAAGTGGTTGTAGGACTGAATTTGATTTCCGCGTAATGTTTGTCCAGATTTTCTAAACGTTGGTTAATTTCTCTGATTGTGGATTTTAGTTCAACTTTCTCGTTCAAGGTGTTCAGAATGTTTATTAGTTTTTGGCGTTCGGTGTCAGGGGTTATTGTGGAGCTAATAGAAATCTGGAAGAATACGAAATCTGCTGTAAAATATGACCGTAGTTGCTCATAAATACCTACCTCCTCACAGTAACACACTACAACGATGACCGACACGAAGACAAAAGTACACCACATTTTGAAGATCGGTTTCAACGTGTTTAACTGAAAGTCACTCGGGGTTATTTAAAAGATGCAAACTCTAGTTCATGGTGAGTTCGGAGGTCAAAAGTCGATAACATTAATTTTGTTTATCAGAACATTGTTTAGTTTATCGTTGTTTCCACCTTTTCGGTATTTTTATTTTTATTTACATATTAATATTTTTTTTCTATCATTTCTTACAACACTTATAACTTAGATACTACATATTTGGACTTAAACTACACATTTACAAATTAAAACTAACAATGTCGGTGTACTTTAATACTCTATCAACTAGCTAATTTATTGACTGTTTTTGGCAAATGACATTCCCTCTGAGAAAAGAGGGGGTGGGTGGGCGGGGCTCTTACCTGCATCAGTTCGACAAGGAACCGCGCACTCCGCTTCCGCCACGTGTTTCTGTCTTATTTAACCTCAGTTCTATTTAAGTGTTCGATTTCTATAACTCTGACTTTAAACTACAACTGAACAAGTGAAACATTAATCAACAAAATATTTACAAGAAAAAAGAGAAATTTGTATGAGGTGAAAAATTGCGAAGTTAACAAATTTACATGAGATTTTGTGTCAATTCGAGTTATTATTCGAGTTAGCTTTGAGAGTTTATTTCGGTGATGTGATGATGATATAATGATAATAACTGCCTAAGTACGATTTTTCAATTTTTCCAATTTTGACTATTCCAAATTTTCAGTTTTCCGATTTCTGAAGTAATCTTTTTTTATTTTCATTTTTTGACTTCCTAAATTTTCGATTTTTAACTTCTTCAATTTTTTGATTTTTTAGTCTTACGTTTTTCAACGTTGCTGTTTTAGTTTTTCGATTTCTCAATTTTCCAATTTTTTAATTTCCCAATTTTTTGAATATTTCTTTCAGTTATGGAATTTTTAATATTTCGGTTTTTCAACTCCTGAATTTTTTTTGATTTCTCGAAAATTTAGATTTTTCAATTTTTCGGCTGTTTTATGCTTCGATTTCTCAATTTTTTTAATTTTCTATTTTTCAATTTTTTGATTTCTCGATTTATCGAATTCAAATGTTTCGATGTTTTGATTGTTCAGTTTCTTGATTTATCAATTTTTCAATTTTTAACTTTTCTTCTCGACTTTGACTCCTCGATTTCTCGATTTTTTCATTTTTCAGTGTTTCAGTATTTTTATTTTTCAGTTTTTCAAATTTTGACTTTGCTAAATTTTTTGATTTTCCCAATGCTCGACTTCCCAAAGTTTCGATTGTTCAGTTCTTCAGTTCTTCAATTTTTGGATTTTCAGCTTTTTGATTTTTCAATTTTTCTTCTAGTTTTCAATTTTTTAGTATTTCGACTTTTCGAGTTTTCGACTTCTGGATGTTTCGATTTCTCGCCATTTCAATTTTTTGATTTTCGTTTTTTCAACTTCTAGTTTCTCAATGTTTCAACTTATTGATATTTTAACTATTCAATTTTTAAAATTTTAGGTTTTTCGATTTCTCGTGTTTTCATTTCAATATTTCCATTTCTCGATTTCTCGATTTTTCAACTTTAGATGTGTTATTATTTCAATTTTGGGCTTCTTCAATTTTTCCATTCTTCAAATTTTCTATTACTCGATTTTTTTATTCTTCGATTCCTCAATTTTCCCATGTTTCAATGATATGATTTCTCAATTTTTGTCCTCTTCAATTTTACGGGTTTTTAAATATTTCGATTTTTCAATTTTTTCAAATTTTGACTATTCTAAATTTTCGGTTTTTTTCGATTTTTCACTTCTTCAATTTTTCGATCTCTCCAGTTTTCAGTTCTTCTATATTTCAATTTTTCCAAATTTGTAAATTTTCGGTTTTTCAATTTTTTGATTTCTCGATTTATCGAATTCAGATGCTTCGATGTTTTGATTGTACAGTTTCTTGATTTGGCAATTTTTCAATTTTTAACTTTCTTCTCGGCTTTCGACTCATCGATTTCTTGATTTTTTCATATTTTAGTTTTTCAGTATTTTTATTTTTCAGTTTTTTAAATTTTGACGTTGCAAAATTTTTGATTTTCCCATTTCTCGACTTCCCATAGTTTCGATCTTTCAGTTCTTCAGATCTTCAATTTTTTGATTTTCAGGTTTATGATTGTTCAATTTTTCTTTTATTTTTCAATTCTTCTGGGTTTTTCGATTTCGGGACTTTTCTCTTTTTGGATTTTCGTTTTTAAACTTCAGATTTTCAATTTTTCATATCTTTTATAGGTACGTCTATTTCTCAATGTTTCAACTTATTGATATTTTAACTTTTCAATTTTAAAAATTCTAGGTTTTTCTATTTCTCGCGTTTTCAGTTCATCTATATTTCAATTTTTCAATTTTCGGAATTTTTAAATTTTCTATTTCCCATTTTTTTTATTTTTCGATTTTCCAAATTCTCGATGTTTCGATTTTTCAATTGTCCGATTGTTCAATCTCTTGATTTTCCTATTTTAATTTTTTTGATTTTTTCATGTTTGGATCCCTCGATTATACAATTTTTCTATATTTGAATTTCTCAATGTTTTAAATTTTAGATTTTCCGATTTATCGATTTTTCATTTCAAGATCTCGATTTTTTAACTTTAGATGTCTCAATTTTTCAATATTTTTCCATTCTTCAAATTTTCGATTACTCGATTTTTTTATTTTTCGATTTCTCAATTTTCCCATGTTTCAATGATACGATTTCTCAATTTTTATCCTCTTCAATTTTACGGTTTTTAAATACATCGATTTTTCAATTTTTTCAAATTTTGACTGTTCTAAATTTTCAGTTTTTTCGATTTTTCAGTTCTTCAATTTTTCGATATTTTAGGCTTACCATTTTTCGACTTTGCTGTTTTAGATTTTTGGTTTCTCAATTTCCCAATTTTTTAATTTCCCAATTTTATGAATATTCTTTCAGTTATGGGATTTTTCAATTTCTCGACTGTTTTACGCTTCGATTTCTAAATTTTTTAACTTTTCGATGTTTTAATTTTTCAGTTTTTAAAATTCTAGGTTTATCGATTTCTCGAGTTTTCAGTTCTTCTATATTTCAATTTTCCCGAATTTTTAAATTTTCCATTTTTCAATTTTTTGATTTCTCGATTTATCGAATTCAGATGTTTCGATGTTTTGATTGTTCAGTTGATTTATCAATTTTTCAATTTTTAAATTTTCTTCTCCGCCTTCGATTCTTCGATTTCTCGATTTTTTCATTTTTCAGTTTTTCAGTATTTTTATTTTTCAGTTGTTCAAATTTTGACGTTGCTAAATTTTTTGATTTTCCCATTTCGCGACTGTCCAAAGTTTCGCTCTTTCAGTTCTTCAGTTCTTCAATTTTTCTAAAATCGTAAAATTGAAAAATAGAGGAATGCAAACATCAAAAGATCAAAACAATAAAAATTCGAAAATCTAAAATTTAAAAATCGAAAAACTGAAAAATCAACGAATCGAGAAATCGAAACTGGAGATTTAAAAAAATAGGAAAATTGAAAAATCGGATTATTCAAAAATCGAAACATCGAAAAATCGAGAAACCGAAAAGCAAAAAATCAAAAAATCCAAACATAGTAAAATTCAAAAACTGAGACATCGAAAAATCGAAAAATCAAAAGACCAAAAAATCGAGGAGTCGAAAAATTCGAGAAGTCGAAAAACCGAAAAACTGAGAAACCGAAATAGGCCAAAATCGAAAAATCGAAAACTTAAATACCTATGGAAAATCGAAAATTTAAAATTTCGGAAAACTGAAAAATTAAAATATAGAACTGGAAACCCGAGAAGTCGAAAAATCCAGAAATTTAAAAATTAAAAAATTAAAGCATGAAAAAGTTGAAAAATTGAAATATAAAACAATCGAAAAATTTCAAATATAAAAAAACCAAAAACTGAAAATCCAAAAATAAACAATTGAAAAATCTAGAAGTCGAAAAGTCAAAGAATCGAATATATTGAAAAATCTCAAAACTGAAAGAAATATCCAAAATTTGAGAAATCGAAAAACCAATAAAGCGAAGTCGAAAAATTGAAGAATTGAAGAACTGCAAAATCGAAACTTTGAGAACCGTGAAAATCGAAAATAGATTGATTGAGAAATCAGAAAACTGAAAATTTAACGTCAAAATTTGAAACGTTAAAAAATATAAATACTGAATAACTGAAATGTCAAAAAATCGAGAAAAATTGAAAAATCCAGAAATTCAAAAGCCCAAAAAGTAGAAAATCGAAAAACTAAGAATTCCAAAAATCGAAACATCGAAAAATTCAAAAACTGAGACATCGAGAAATCGAAAAATTAGAGGATCGAGAAATTGATTAGTCGGAAGCCGAAATGGAAAGTTAAAAATTGAAAAAATGATAAATTGAGAAATTGAACAATCAAAACAATGAAACATCTGAATTCGATAAATTGAGAAATCAAAAAACTGAATAATCGAAAAATTTTAAAAAAGACAAACTGGAAAATCGAAAATTTAAATTAAAAAATTCGAAAAATTGAAAAATTGAAATATGGAAGAATTGAAAACTCGATATATCGAAAAATCTAGAATTTTAAAAAAGGAAATATTAAAACATCGAAAAGTTGAAAAATTGAGAAATCGAAGTATAAAACAGTCGAAGAATTGAAAAATCTAAAGTTTAACAATAAATTGAAAATCCAAAAGTAAAAACTCGAGATCAAAAAAAACACATCAATTCAAAAATCGAAAAGTCGAAAAATCAAAAACCTGAAAAATCGAAAAATTGAAGAACTGAAGAACTGAAAAATCGAAACTTTGGGAATTGGAGAAATGGGAATATAAAAAAATAAATTAATTGACAAATCCGAAAACTGAAACTTCAGAAACGTCAAAATTTGAAAAATAAAAAATATTGAAGAACTGAAAAATGAAAAATCTAAAATCGTAAAATTGAAAAATAGAAGAAGGCAACCATCTAAAGATCGAAACAATAAAAATTCGAAAATCTAAGATTTAAAAATCGAAAAACTGAAAAATCAACGAATCGAGAAATCGAAACTGGAAAATTAAAAAAACTGGAAAATTGAAAAATCGGATTATTCAAAAATCGAAACATCGAAAAATCGAGAAACCGAAAAGCAAAAAATTGAAAAATCGAAACATAGTAAAATTCAAAAACTGAGACATCGAGAAATCGAAAAATCAAAAGACCAAAAAATCGAGGAGTCGAAAAATCGAGAAGTCGAAAAATCGAAAAACTGAGAAACCTAAATAGGCCAAAATCGAAAAATCGAAAACTTAAATACCTATGGAAAATCGAAAATTTAAAAATTCCGAAAACTGAAAAATTAAAATATAGAACTGGAAACTCGAGAAGTCGAAAAATCTAGAAATTTAAAAACTTAAAAATTAAAACATGGAAAAGTTGAAAAATTGAGAAATTGAAATATAAAACAATCGAAAAATTTAAAATATAAAAAACGAAAAACTGAAAATCCAAAAATAAACAATTGATAAATCTAAAAGTCGAAAAATCAAGTATCGAAATATTGAAAAATCTCAAAACTGAAAGAAATATCCAAAAATTGAGAAATCGAAAAACCAATAAAGCGAAGTCGAAAAATTGAAGAATTGAAGAACTGCAAAATCGAACCTTTGAGAAGCAAGAAAATCAAAAATAGATTAATTGAGAAATCAGAAAACTGAAAATTTAACGTCAAAATTTGAAACGTTAAAAAATATAAATACTGAATAACTGAAATGTCAAAAAATCGAGAAAAATTGAAAAATCCAGAAATTGAAAAGCCCAAAAAGTAGAAAATCGAAAAACTAAGAATTCCAAAAATCGAAACATCGAAAAATTCAAAAACTGAGACATCGAGAAATCGAAAAATTAGAGGATCGAGAAATTGATTAGTCGGAAGCCGAAATGGAAAGTTAAAAATTGAAAAAATGATAAATTGAGAAATTGAACAATCAAAACAATGCAACATCTGAATTCGATAAATTGAGAAATCAAAAAACTGTATAATCTAAAAATTTTAAAAAAGAAAAACTGGAAAATCGAAAATTAAAATTAAAAAATTCGAAAAATTGAAAAATTGAAATATGGAAGAATTGAAAACTCGAGATATCGAAAAACCTAGAATTTTAAAAAATGAAATATTAAAACATCGAAAAGTTGAAAAATTGAAAAATCGAAGTATAAAACAGTCGAAGAATTGAAAAATCTAAAGTTTAACAATAAATAGAAAATCCAAAAAGTAAAAAATCGAGATCAAAAAAAATCCATCAATTCAAAAATCGAATTGTCGAAAAATCGAAAAATTGAATAATCAAAAACCTGAAAAATCGAAAAATTGAAGAACTGAAGAACTGAAAAATCGATACTTTGGGAATTGGAGAAATGGGAATATAAAAAATAAATTAATTTACAAATCCGAAAACTGAAAATTCAGAAACGTCAAAATTTGAAAAATAAAAAAATATTGAAGAACTGAAAAATGAAAAACCTAAAATCGTAAAATTGAAAAATAGAGGAATGCAAACATCAAAAGATCAAAACAATAAAAATTCGAAAATCTAAAATTTAAGAATCGAAAAACTGAAAAATTAACGAATCGAGAAATCGAAACTGGAAATTTTAAAAAATTTGAAAATTGAAAAATCGAAACATCGAAAAATCGAGAAACCGAAAAGCAAAAAATCGAAAAATCGAAACATAGTAAAATTCAAAAACTGAGACATCGAGAAATCGAAAAATCAAAAGACCAAAAAATCGAGGAGTCGAAAAATCGAGTAGTCGAAAAATCGAAAAACTGGCAAACCGATCTAGGCCAAAATCGAAAAATCGAAAACTTAAATAACTATGGAAAATCGAAAATTTAAAAATTCCGAAAACTTAAAAATTAAAATATAGAACTGGAAACTCGAGAAGTCGAAAAATCTAGAAATTTAAAAACTTAAAAATTAAAACATGGAAAAGTTGAAAAATTGAGAAATTGAAATATAAAACAATCGAAAAATTTAAAATATAAAAAACGAAAAACTGAAAATCCAAAAATAAATAATTGAAAAATCTAGAAGTCGAAAAATCAAAGAATCGAAATATTGAAAAATCTCAAAACTGAAAGAAATATCCAAAAATTGAGAAATCGAAAAACCAATAAAGCGAAGTCGAAAAATCAAAGAATTGAAGAACTGCAAACCGAAACTTTGAGAAGCGAGAAAATCAAAAATTGTTTAATTGAGAAATCAGAAAACTGAAAATTTAACGTCAAAATTTGAAACATTAAAAAATTTAAATACTGAAGAACTGAAAAGTCAAAAAATCCAGAAATCGAAAAATTTAAAAGTTCAAACATTGAACAATTAAAATATCGCAAAATTGAAGAATCGAGAAATTCAATTCAATTTAAAAAATTGAAAAATTGAAAAATCGGAATATTGAAAAATGGAAAAATCCAGAAATTGAAAAGCCCAAAAGTAAAAAATCGAAAATCCAAGAATTCCAAAAATCGAAACATCAAAAAATTCAAAGACTGAGACATCGAGAAATTGAAAAATCAGAGGATCGAGAAATTGATTAGTCGGAAGCCGAAAAGGAAATTAAAAGATTGATAAATTGAGAAATTGAACAATCAAAACATTGAAACATCTGAATTCGATAAATTGAGAAATCAAAAAACTGAATAATCGAAAAATTTTAAAAAAGAAAAACTGGAAAATCGAAAATTAAATTTAAAAAATTCGAAAAATTGAAAAATAGAAGAATTGAAAGCTCGAGATATCGAAAAACCTAGAATTTTAAAAAATGATGTATTAAAACATCGAAAAGTTGAAAAATTGAGAAATCGAAGTATAAAACAGTTGAAGAATTGAAAAATTTAAAGTCTAACAATAAATTGAAAATCCAAAAAGTAAAATCTCGAGATCAAAAAAATCCATCAATTCAAAAATCGAAAAGTCGAAAAATCGAAAAATTGAAAATCAAAAACCTGAAAAATCGAAAAATTGAAGAACTGAAGAACTGAAAAATCGAAACTTTGGGAATTAGAGAAATGGGAATATAAAAAAATAAATTAATTGACAAATCCGAAAACTGAAACTTCAGAAACGTCAAAATTTGAAAAATAAAACAAAATTGAAGAACTGAAAAATGAAAAATCCAAAATCGTAAAATTGAAAAATAGAGGAATGCAACCATCAAAAGATCAAAACAATAAAAATTCGAAAATCTAAAACTTAAAAATCGAAAAACTGAAAAATCAACGAATCGAGAAATCGAAACTGGAAATTTTAAAAAATTGGAAAATTGAAAAATCGGGATAAAAATCGAAAAACCAAGAATTCCAAAAATCGAAACATCACACAGAGAAATTGATTAGTCGGAAGCCAAAAAGGAAAGTTAAAAATTAAAAAATTGATAAATTGAGAAATTGAGCAATCAAAACAATGAAATATCTGAATTCGATAAATTGAGACATCAAAAAAACTGGAAAATCGATAATTTAAATTAAAAAATTCGAAAAATTGAAAAATTGAAATATGGAAGAATTGAAAACTCGAGATATCGAAAAACCTAGAATTTTAAAAAATGAAATATTAAAACATGGAAAAGTTGAAAAATTGAGAAATCGAAGTATAAAACAGTCGAAGAATTGAAAAATCTAAAGTTTCTTGTATCTGTATCTAGATACTTTTATCTTCCATATATCTATATCTGTATCTAGATACTTTTAAAAGTATCTGTTCCCAACACTGAATGTGAACTTTAGTTAATCATAAGCACTTGCCTCCTCACAGTTACACAGCACAATGGCCACCGACACCAAGACAAAAGTACACCACATTTTGCTAACACCAATGTTTAACTGAACATCAGTCAAGGCTATTTATAAAATGATAAGTTGGGAGATGATGGGTTTTTCTTGTAATTAATAATTTTTTTTATTTTAACTAACTACTATCGCAAATAAAAGTTTATCGCAACTCCTGACCCACAACCAGTTGTCTATATTAAGCAGCGAAAACATAACAAGATTACATCTAAAAAGCTGCCACAACCAAGAACATGGAAAGTTTACCAAAATATTTCCTATTCTGGAACATCACTCTGTTATGGACCGCCATTTTCATTACCCATGGCCACACGGTACGTACTCTTTGTAATTATTTCCAAAACCTCTTCAGTTTTTTCTAGAATGACGTGGACTCCACAAGTCTCTCCGCCATTGACTACCAAAAACAATCAGCTATTCTGACCAAACTATCTAGCGTTGAGTCAGCCATTCAAACAATCAATTCTCGCCTACAACAACTAGAAACACAATGTCAAAAAAACAACACCAGTGCATTGAAAAACCTCGAACTAAAAATCGATCAACTGGAAGCTCGTTCGAAAGTCGCCCCTATTCCAGAAAACTGCCAACAAGTCAAAGCTCAGGGTCATAACGTCAGCGGTATTTTCCTGGTGAAACCCAAGTATGCCTCAGACCCTTTTTTGGTCTCTTGCGACATGACCACGCGAGACGGTGGCTGGACGGTTTTTTTGAACAGATTCGATGGATCTGTGGACTTTTATGTAAATTGGGATAGCTACCAACACGGTTTTGGAAATCTGGCGGGAGAGTTTTGGCTGGGTTTGGAAAAAATTTACCAATTGTGTGGTGAGTGTTCAACTTGTTGAAATTTGGAGTAACTTGTGAGTCGCTAGGTTATCAAGTTAACGAGCTGCTGGTAGAGGTGGCTGGGTCCGACAACAAGGCAGCTTTTGCTCATTACAACCAGTTTGGTATTGGTAGTTCACTGGAGGGTTATCATTTGAAAACTGTGAATGGGTTCAGTGGAAGTGCTAGCAACCCTCTTGTTTACCATGCTGGTGCAAAATTTACCACAAAAGACCGAGATCAAGATTCTCTTCCTAAAGCGAATGCGGCGGTTACGTACAGTAAGTGGAGTAATAATTTTTGAACTTTTTAAAAACATGTTTTGTAAAATTCGTAGAAGGAGCATGGTGGCATCGCGACGGCCATTATGGTCAGCTCACCGGACTCTATAAAACCGCAAATCAGTACCAGAGTCCTCGCTGGGGAGAACGATATAACTTGAAAAAGGCTAGAATGATGATTAGACCACAATCTGATAACACTCTTCTATAAAACCACTTTTGTAAAAAGAAAAAAAAATAAATATCAATTCATTATTTAATGTTTCATTTATTTATTTAAATAAGGTTGAGAGATAAGGAACTGTGGATTTAGTTTCAAAAACAATATTTAACTGATCAGTCTTACGCAAGAGACATTTACGCCAAATCCTTAGTTGTATTTAAAACAAAGTTGTTTTGACAGAACCTTCCTCGCTTCTGAAGTATAATGAAGTACATCATGAAAGTTTCTAACTGCGATGGTTACCTGTACCTGTTTAGATTAGTGTCTGATAGATTAATTCGCATTCGTGCTACCGTGTTGACCAGTTCACTTAAGTTTGCGATTTGAAAAAATAAATTTAAAAACCACTCCCTTCCGAAGTGTGCTTGTTACGCTACTGACTGACAGTCCGTTGTCAGATTCTGATGACTCACCATGTTGAAATTAAAATAATCCGTCTCTAACAACCTTTGTCGTTATTTATGTTAATACATTGAAAGAATGTCACGAAGAAATTAGCAAATCTAAAAAATATTAATGCAGTGATAAATCACAAGTATTGACTCATCATACTTTGCACATTTAAGACAGGAGTCACCTGTTATGAGAGTTTTTAGAGTGCATAAAATATTTGTAGAATTTAGAAAACCAAGAATTTATAAAGAGTATAAAAATTTTATGAAGTCTAAATCGACAAAAATTTTAAATGACCGAGAAGGTTTAGAGAATCCAGTGAGGTCCAAGACTCTAGAATAGTCTGGAGTTCCAAAAGCTAAAGTATCGAAGGGTCCAAATGGTCCAAAATTTCCGAAGAGTTTAAAGAGTCTAAAGAGCCCAAGGAGTTCAAAGGGTCCCAAGTCAAAAGAGTTCAGATAGTTCATAAAGTCGAAATAGTCCAAAGGGTACAAAAGTTCAAAGAATCCAAGTTTATGGAGTGGAAGGAGCCCATCGGGGCAAGCAATCCAAGAAGTCCAAAGAGTCCAAATAGTTCAAATGGTCGCAATAGTCCAAAGGGTCCAAAAAGCCCAAATAGGACAGAGTCTAATTGGTCCATTGAGTCGAAAAAGTCCAAAGAGTCCAAGGAATTTAAAGAGACCAAAAAATCGAAAAAAAATGTCAAGGGTCCAAAGATATAAAATCTTGAAAAATTTAGATAGCCTGTAGTACAAGACTCCAAATAGTCCAGAGAGTTCATAAAAACCAAATAATGCAAAGAGTCCAAAGAATCCATAGAGTCTAAAGAGTTCAAAGGGTTCAAAGATCCTGGGAGTTCAAACATCGTGAGAAAAAAAAATACGTATAAAGTGTAAAAAAGCTAAAAGCCAAACAGTTTATAGAGTGCCAAATGTTCAAAGAGTCTCAAGAAGTCCTAACAATCCGTAGAGTCCAAAGAATCCATGGAGTGCGAAGGGTGTAAAGAGACCCAAGTCAAAAGGGTTCAGATAGTCCCAAAAATCCATAAAGTCGAAATAGTCCAAAGGGTACAAAAGTTCAAAGAATCCAAGTTTAAGGGGTGGAAGGAACCTATCGGGGCAAGCAATCCAAGAAGTCCAAAAAGTCCAAATAGTCCAAATGTTCGCAATAGTCTAAAGGGTACAAAAGTTCAAAGAATCCAAGTTTAAAGAGTAGAAGGAGCCCATCGGGACAAGAAATCCAAGAAGTCCAAAGAGCCCAAATAGTAAAAATGGTCGCAATAGTCCAAAGGGTCCAAAAAGCTCAAATAGCACAAAGAGTCCAAATGGTCTATTGAGTCCAAAGAGTCCACAGAATTTAAAGAGTCCAAAAAATCCAAAAAAGTGTCAAGAGTCCTAAGATATAAAATCTTAAAAAATTTAGATAGCCTTGAGTACAAGACTGCAAATACTCCAAAGAGTTCATAGGATCCAAATAATGCAAAGAGTCCAAAGAATCCATAGAGTCTAAAGAGTTCAAAGGGTTCAAAGATCCTGGGAGTTCAGACATCGTGAGAAAACAAGGAATTAAGGAAATCGAGATAGCCTAGAGAGTTCATTGGATGTAGAGGATCAAAATACGCATAAAGTGTAAAAAAGCTAGAAGCCAAACAGTTCATAGAGTGCCAAATGTTCAAAGAGTCTCAAGAAGTCCTAAGAATCCGAAGAGTCCAAAGAGTCCATGGAGGGCAAAGGGTCTAAAGAGCCCAAGGAGTTCAAAGAGTCCCAAGTCAAAAGAGTTCAGATAGTCCAAAAAATCCATAAAGTCGAAATAGTCCAAAGGGTACAAAAGTTCAAAGAATCCAAGTTTACGTAGTGGAAGGAGCCCATCGGAGCAAGGAAACCAAGAAGTCCAATGAGTCCAAATAGTACAAAGAGTCTAAATGGTCCATTGACTCCAAAAAGTCCAAAGAATCCAAAGAATTTAAAGAGTCCAAAAAAAAAAAGTGTCAAGAGTCCTAAGATATAAAATCTTAAAAAATTGAGATAGCCTGGAGTACTCACAAGACTGCAAATAGTCGAGAGAGTTCATAGAATCCAAATAATGCAAAGAGTCTAAAAATCCAAAGAGTCTAAAGAGTTCAAAGGGTTCAAAGATCCTGGGAGTTCAGACATCGTGAGAAAAAAGGAATTAAGGTAATCGAGATAGCCTAGAGAGTTCATTGGATATAAAGGACCAAAATACGCATAAAGTGTAAAAAAGCTAGAAGCCAAACAGTTCATAGAGTGCCAATTGTTCAAAGAGTCTCAAGAGGTCCTAAGAATCTGTAGAGTCCAAAGAGTCTATGGAGTGCGAAGGGTCTAAAGAGCACAAGAAGTTCAAAGAGTCACAAGTCGAAAGAGTTCAGATAGTCCAAAAAGTCCAAAGAGTCCAAAGAATTTAAAGAGTTCAAAAAAATTTAAAAAAAAGACAAGAAGTCCAAAGAGCCCAAATAGTACAAATGGTCGCAATAGTCCAAAGGGTCCAAAAAGCCCAAATAGCACAAAGAGTCCAAATGGTCCATTGAGTCCAAAAAGTCCAAAGAGTCCACAGAATTTAAAGAGTCCAAAAAATCCAAAAAAAATGTCAAGAGTCCAAAGAATCCATAGAGTCTAAAGAGTTCAAAGGGTCTAAAAATCCTGGGAGTTCAGACATCGTGAGAAAACAAGGAATTAAGGAAAGCGAGATAACTTAGAGAGTTCATTGGATGTAGAGGATCAAAATACGTATAAAGTGTAAAAAAGCTAAAAGCCAAACAGTTCATCGAGTGCCAAATGTTCAAAGAGTCTCAAGAAGTCCTAAGGATCCGTAGAGTCCAAAGAGTCCATAGAGTGCGAAGGGTCTAAAATGCCCAAGGAGTTCAAAAAATCTCAAGTCAAAAGAGTTCAGATAGTCCAAAAAATCCATAAAGTCGAAATATTCCAAAGGGTACAAAAGTTCAAAGAATCCAAGTTTAAGGAGTGGAAGGAGCCCATCGGGGCAAGCAATCCAAGAAGTCCAAAGAGTCCAAATAGTACAAATGGTCGCAATAGTCGAAAGGGTCCAAAAAGCCCAAATACCACAAAGAGTCCATAGAGTTGAAAATTGGTCCAAGAATTGGTGGTATTTTGCACATTTTTGTACATTTCAAAGGGCGATATTGGAAGAACCATTGGAGATATCGAAGAAATGAAAGCGGATATGACTTCTGGGGCCCGAAGTCTACAAGAAAATGTATTTAGTGAAATTTCGAAAATTTTGTTGAAAATTGGTCCAAGAATTGGTGGTATTTTGCACATTTTTGTACATTTCAAATGGGCGAATCTGGAAGAACCATTGGAGATATCGAAGTAATGAAAGGGGATATGACTTCTGGGGCCCGAAATCTACAAGAAAATGTATTTAGTAAAATTTCGAAACTTTTGTTGAAAATTGGCCCAAAAACTGGTGGTATTTTGCACATTTTTGTACATTTGAAAGGGTGATTTTGGAAGAACGATTGGAGATATCGAAGAAATGAAAGCGGATATGACTTCTGGGGCCAGAAATCTACAACAAAATGTAATTAGTGAAATTTCGAAAATTTTGTTGAAAATTTTGCACATTTTTGTACATTTCAAAGGGCGATTTTGGAGGAACCATTGGAGATATCGAAGAAATGAAAGCTGATATGATTTCTGAGGCCCGAAATCTACAAGAAAATGTTTTTAGTAAAATTTCGAAAATTTTTTTGAAAATTGGTCCAAGAATTGGTGGTATTTTGCACATTTTTGTACATTTCAAAATAGTCCAGATGGTACAAAAGTTCAAAGAATCCAAGTTTAAGGAGTGGAAGGAGCCCATTGGGGCAAGCAATCCAAGAAGTCCAAATAGTGTAAAAAAGTGTCAAGAGTCCAAAGATATAAAATCTTAAGAAATTTAGATAGTCTGTAGTACAAGACTCCAAATAGTCCAGAGGGTTCATAGAATCCCAATAATGCAAAGAGTCCAAAGAATCCATAGAGTGTAAAGAGTTCAAAGGATTCAATGATCCTGAGATTTCAGACATCGTGAGAAAATAAGGAATTAAGGAAATGGAGATAGCCCAGAGAGTTCATTGGATGTAGAGGATCAAAATACGTATAAAGTGTAAAGCTAGAAGCCAAACAGTTCATAGGGTGCCAAATGTTGAAAAAGTCTAAGGAGTTCAAAGAGTCTCTAGGAGTCCTAATAATCCGTAGAGTCCAAAGAGTCTATGGAGTGCGAAGGGTCTAAAGAGCCCAAGGAGTTCAAAGAGTCCCAAGTCAAAAGACTTCAGATAATCAAAAAAATATATAAAGTGGAAATAGTCCAAAGGGTACAAAGGTTCAAAGAATCAAAGTTTAAGGAGTGGAAGAAGCCCATCGGGGCAAGCAATCCAAGAAGTCCAAAGAGTCCAAATAGTACTAATGGTCCCAATAGGCCAAAAGATCCAAAAAACCCAAATCGCACAAAGAGTCCAAATGGTCCATAGATCCCAAAAAGGGTCCAAAGAATTTAAAGAGTCCAAAAAATCCAAAAAATGTGGAAAGATTCCAAAGATATAAAATCTTAAAAAATTTAGACAGACTGTAGTACAAGACTCCAAATAGTCCAGAGGGTTCAAAGATTCTCAAGGAGTCCAAAGAGTCCATAGAGTGCGAAGGGTCTATAGAGCCTAAGGAATCCAAAAAGTCCCACGTCGAAAGAGTTCAAACAATCCATAGAGACCATAGAGTCCAAATAGTCTAATGAATTCAAGTAGCTCCAAAGTCTAAAGGTCCAACAAGTCCATCTGCCAAATTTCAAAACATTCGGCTTTGCAGATTCAAAATTAATTTTGATTTTTTTTCCAAAAATCTGGACGTTTTGGGTAAGAACACGATACGGAGTCATAAACTACATGTATAAGAATATGCTATAAATACATAATTTGACAAGAATCGGCCCAGCACTTCCTGAAATTATATGTCTAATAAAAATCCGGGACGGTAGACAGAGTGACAGGCAGACGGACAGAGAGATGGAAACGGAAGACCTATTTCGTCGTAATGTAAGGGTCATGAAAGGTCGAGAAAACGTAAAAGTAGAGAGTCAGTCGACAGAAATTATGAAAGCTTCTCCAAAGTGTTCACTGTAGGTACATATAAGTGAACACACCATGGTAGCGGAACATTTTCTTGTAAACTGTGGGTGTGGGATGATATTTTTTTAATGTTGTTTAGAGTGATGAAACCCTCAATAAATCTCACCTTAATACTACGTCTATGCTAACATTATTATAAAGTTCATAACTAACTTACCAATAAACACTGATTTGAAAGATTCTTGAAGTCCTTTGAAACCGTCCAAGTGTGCCCAAAGTGCTCTAGCAGAACACCAAATGATTTGTTTTTTATTAAATCGGATACAAATTTTGTAAAGGTTAAAAATTATTTAAATATAAATCATACAATGTTTCATTTAATTATATAAACAATGCTGAAAGATAAAGAACTGCGAATTTAGTTTTAAAAACAAAATTTAAGTGATTGATTATTTTTTGTCTTATCATGGTAACTGACCCATAAATTAATTATAATATATATTTAGTCCAGTCTAAAACTAAGACAACAACCAGTTGATCTGGTTTCTCAACATGAAGACGATTTCTAAGTCAATTTTCGTTTTATTCTTATTACTAAATATATTTTTATTTTCATTGGAAGACGATCAAGGAAAGGTGAGTAAAATGCAACACAAACAAGGGTTGTTCGAAAATTTTAGAAAGTTTACCAAATTCAACAATTCTTTCTAAAATGTGATAACAGAGAGTCTTCTGCTACAGTTTGACGTTGTTTCCACGACGCAAAAACCTCCTGACTCCCTCAAATCCGAAGAAACACTGTTGAAGCAGTTTGAAAACTTTCAAGAAAATATTAAGGATAAAATAAAAGCTCTCGAATCAGCGAACGCCTTGCAATTAGAACAGTTAACGCATCGTCTAGAAGCTCTCGAATCCACAAACAATTTAAAATTGCAAGATGGTCGAAGGGTTCTTTACTCAAAACAAGAAGAATTATTTTGTCTTAAGCAACAATCGGGAGACAATCTTCCACGTAACTGTAGAGAAGTCAAAGAGAGAGGTTACGACTTTTCTACGACTTACCCGATTAAACCAGACTTTGCGCCTAAAGCCACAAGAGTTCGATGTGACTTAGAAAAACATGGAGGGGGATGGACATACATTCTAAATAGGTTTGATGGATCACAAAGTTTTGACTTTGATATAGAAGAATATAAAAACGGATTTGGTAAACTTTCGGGTGAGTTTTGGCTGGGTTTAGATAACATTAATTATTTAACTGGTAAGTTGTTAACCCAACTAACAGAATAAAATGAAGAGTTGTATGTAAAAATGTAGGTTATAAAGTCAACGAATTGCTGGTAGAACTCGTAGACTGGAACGACACATTAGTGTTCGCCCATTATGATCGATTCAGAGTGGGCAATGAAGACGAAGATTACATAATGACTGTGTCAGGGTATAACGGTACCGCTGGAGATTCGCTGGGTGGCAGTACCAATATGAAATTTAGTACAAAATCGAAAGACTTTGATAGCTGGCCCTCAGGAAGTTGTGCTAAAACATTCGGTAGTTGTATAACTTAAATTGCTGCTATTTTTAATGGGACAGCATTGCAGACTCAAGTTGGTGGTTCCAGGACTGTATGGGTTGTCTTCTCACGGGAAAGTACTTGAAAGGCAATGTTTCGAGCGAGCAGAGAGGTAAAATTATGTACTGGCACAAATTCCAAGGGAGCATATATAGTCTCAAGGAAGCTAGAATGATGGTTAGACCTAGAATTTAACCAAATGACTAGATATGATGGAAGCAGCACATTTTTTTTAACTGTATGTGTGACATAATAATAAAACCAACCTTAATACTTAAACTTAATTTTGCATTTGTTATTGCATCTACATCAGATGCAAATAATAATTTATTTCTTCTATCGTGATAAATGATCTCTAAATTCCTTGGTGTATTTAGTTCAGTACACGAAAACAAAAATTAAGCCCCACCCACCCGCCCCAATCCCATTTGTGATAAATGTTTCATTCGTAATCAGACCGAAGGGCGGAGTTCAATTGCAAAATCCTCATATCTCCACAAGAAATTATCAAATGAAATATGTTTTTACATGAATATTTGTCTAAAAAATTCTACCCTTTTAAAAACACATTTCATATGATAATTTCTTGTAGAGAAATGAGGATTTTGCAAACTAAACTCCGCCTTTCAGCTCATGAGGAATAAAACATTCATCACAATTGAGAAGGGGTGGGTGGGCGGGGCTTATATTTGGTCCATTTTATCTTAATATACGCAGCCTTCTTTTCCCAACAAGAAATTGACAATATGTTTAGCTATTCTATTGCTGAAAGAAAACCCTAGATATAAGAAAAAAAAAAATTAAGTCCCACCCACCCGCCCCAATCTCAATTGTGATAAATTTTTCATTCGTAATCAGACCGAAGGGCGGAGTTCAATTGCAAAATCCTTATATTTCTACCATAAATTATCATATGAAATATGTCTTTACATGAATATTTGTCTAAAAAATTCTACCCTTTTAAAAACACATTTCATATAATAATTTCTTGTAGAGAAATGAGGATTTTGCAAACTAAACTCAGCCCTTCAGCTAATGATGAATAAAGCATTCATCACAATTGAGAAGGGGTGGGTGGGCGGGGCTTATATTTTGACCATTTTTTCTTAATATATGCAGACTTCTTTTCCCAACAAGAAATTGACAATATGTTTAACTATTCTATTGTTGAAAGAAAATCCTATATATAAGAAAAAAAAAAAATTAAGCCCCACCCACCCGCCCCGCTCTCAATTGTGATAAATTTTTCATTCGTAATTAGAACGAAGGGCGGAGTTCAACTGCAAAATCTTAATATTTCTACAAGAAATTATCATATGAAATTTGTTTTTACATGAATATTTGTCTAAAAAATTCTACCCTTTTAAAAACACATTTCATATGATAATTTCTTGTAGAGAAATGAGGATTTTGCAAACTAAACACCGCCTTTCAGCTCATGATGAATAAAACATTTATCACAATTGAGAAGGGGTGGGTGGGCGGGGCTTATATTTGGTCCATTTCTTCTTAATATGCGCAGCATTCTTTTCCCAACAAGAAATTGACAATATGTTTAGCTATTCTATTGCTGAAAGAAAACCCTAGATATAAGAAAAAAAAAAAATTAAGTCCCACCCACCCGCCCCAATCTCAATTGTGATAAATTTTTCATTCGTAATCAGACCGAAGGGCGGAGTTCAATTGCAAAATCCTTATATTTCTACCATAAATTATCATATGAAATATGTCTTTACATGAATATTTGTCTAAAAAATTCTACCCTTTTAAAAACACATTTCATATAATAATTTCTTGTAGAGAAATGAGGATTTTGCAAACTAAATTCAGCCCTTCAGCTAATAATGAATGAAGCATTCATCACAATTGAGAAGGGGTGGGTGGGCGGGGCTTATATTTTGTCCATTTTTTCTTAATATACGCAGCCTTCTTTTCCCAACAAGAAATTCACAATATGTTTAGCTATTCTATTGTTAAAAGAAAACCCTATATATAAAAAATAAAACAAAAATTAAGCCCCACCCACCCGCCCCGATCTCAATTGTGATAAATTTTTCATTCGTAATCAGACCGAAAGGCGGAGTTCAATTGCAAAATCCTCATATCTCTACAAGAAATTATCATATGACATATGTCTTTGCATGAATATTTGTCTAAAAAATTCTACCCTTTCAAAAACATATCTCATATGGCAATTTCTTGTAGAGAAATGAGGATTTTGCAAACTAAACTCCGCCTTTCAGCTCATGATGAATAAAACATTCATCACAATTGAGAAGAGGTGGGTGGGCGGGCTCTTATATTTGGTCTATTTTTTCTTAATATACGCAGCCTTCTTTTCCTAACAAGAAATTGACAATATGTTTAGCTATTCTATTGTTGAAAGAAAACCCTATATATAAAAAATAAAACAAAAATTAAGCCCCACCCACCCGCCTCGATCTCATTTGTGATAAATTTTTCATTCGTAATCAGACCGTAGGGCGGAGTTCAATTGCAAAATCGTCATATCTCTACAAGAAATAATCAGATGAAATATGTTTTTACATGAATATTTGTCTAAAAATTCTACCCTTTAAAAAACATATCTCATATGGCAATTTCTTGTAGAGAAATCCGGATTTTGCAAACTAAACTCAGCCCTTCAGCTAATGATGAATGAAGCATTCATCACAATTGAGAAGGGGTGGGTGGGCGGGGCTTACAAATGCTCCATTTTTTTTAATATACGCAGCCTTCTTTTCCCAACAAGAAATTGAAAGCATATTTAACTTTCCTGTTGAAAAAAACTCAATACATTAAGAAAAAAACAAAAATTAATTATTTTAACATACATAGCCATCTAGAAACTTAGAACATGGTTAAAATGGTACTTCTTTGCAAGGAAATATGGATTTTGCAATTATGGAGCGGAGCCTCATTGCAAGATCGATATTTGTTTATACAAATTTTCCATTTTAAACATGTTTTAAAGTTCATGTTGTGAAAAGAAGTATAAAAATATAAAAACACAAAGATAAAATGTAAGCCCGCCCACCCGCCCTGTCTCAATTGTGATGATTTTTTTTATTCGCCGTGAACCAAGGGGACGGAACTTAACTGCAAAATACTTATTTCTTCACAACAAATTAAAAATATGTTTTTGAGTATCGTGTTGTTCAAAGAATACCAGGTACACTCAAAAACAAAAGGCAAAATATAAACCCCGCCCACCCACCCTCTCTCAATTTTGATGACTTTTTTTTATTCTTAGAAACGTACTTGAAACACATATAAAATGGCAAATAAATTTTTGTAAGGAAACATGGATTTTACAATTAGGCTCAACCCCTAGGTCTGCCAACGAATGAAAACTTCATTACTATTTAGATCAAGGAAGGTATGGGTAGAGCTTAATCTTTGCCTTTAATTTTTTCTTAGTATATACAGTATTCTTTAAATAATACGATACTCAAAATATGTCTGACTTAGCGATTTCTTGTAGAGAAATGATAAGGATTTTGCAATTAAGCTCCACCCCTTGGCTTACGACGAATAAAAAAATCATCAGAATTGAGATAGGGCGGGTGGGTGGGGCTTATATTTTGTCTTTTTCTTTTTAACATGCATAGCCATCTTGTCACAACTAGAAACTTAAAACATGGTTAAAATGGTACTTCTTTGCAAGGAAATATGGATTTTGCAAATATGGGGCGGAGCCTCATTGCAAGATCGATAGTGAAAAACTGAGTAATAGAAAAGTCGAAATGTAAAAAAAAGACCAAAATCGAAAAATCTAAAAGTCAAAAATCAAAAATTTGAAGAATCGATGGAAAAATCGAAAGGTCGAAAAATCGGGAAAACCCAAAAACCGAAAAATCGAGACATTGAAAGATCCAAAAATCCAGACATCGAAAACTCGGAAAAGTTGGAAAATCCAAAAATCGAAAATTGAACCAATCGAAAAGTCGAATAGTGGAAAAATAGAGCAATCGAAAGAACCACAAACCAAAAAATTCGAAAAATTAATAAATCGAGAAATCTTGAAATCGAAAAATTCGAAAATCTGAAAATTGGAAAATGAAGACACTAAAAAATCTAAAAGTCGAAAATTGAAACTTTTAAGAATCGACCGAAAAATCGGAAAAACCCAAAAACCGAGAAATCAAGGAATTGAAAAATCCAAAAATCCAGATATCGAGACAGAAAAATCCTAACTGAAAAATCGAAATATCGGAAAATCAAAAAGTCGAACAATCCAAAAATCGAAAAATGGAATCAATCGAAACAACGAAAAATTGAAAAATCTTAAAGTCGAAAAAGAATTGAAGAAGTGAAAAATCGAAACTTTGGGGAGAAATGGAAAAATAAAAAAAAATTACTTCAGAAATCGGAAAACTGAAAATTTAGAAACGTCAAAATTTGAAAAATTCAAAAATAGAAAAATCTAAATATTTAGAAATCGTAAAATTGAAGAGGACAAAAATTGAGAAACTGTATCATTGAAAAATAAAAAAATGGAGAAACCGAAAATTTGAAGAATGGAAAAATTGAAAATGCCCAAAATTGAAGTACTGAAAAATTGAACCGTCTAAAGTAGAAAAATCGAGAAATCTTAAAGCCGAATAATCTCAATAATGTATCTATAAACCACAAGTTCAAGATTATACTATAGACAAAACTGTTGAAATTCCTTGTCCACTTTGTTCACAAAAATAATTTGCACATTTCGTCCTTTATCGTCCTTATTATCCTTTTTCGTCCTTTCCGTCCTTTTTCATTCTTTGTCGTCCTTATTCGTCCTCTTGCGACCTTTTTCGTCCTTTTCGTCCTGTTTAGTTCTTTTTCGTCCTTTTCGTCTTTCCGCCCCCGGACCACTGAAATGATTTATTAAGGCGGAGGAGCTTGTATGGGAGGGAGGAGCATCGGTAATATTGTTTCTTTAGTATGATTTTGACGTCTAGTATGCTTATTTAAGACCAGCTCAAAATTTTCTAGACATCTTATTGAACAATTTACCCTTTTTCTTGCCAACGATTTAACAGATTTATTAAAGATTTTAATAAGTTAATAATGTTGTCATTAATTAACAATATTAAGAGTTGTCATTGGAATGAAGAACGGGTGGGTGGGCGGGGAACCACTTGTTCATAAGACTGTAGAAAAATGCCAAACTTCACTCAGTTAAATATTTTATACACTGTTAAATGAGAAATTAATTCAATTTTGACAATCGGTAGAACCTAATGTTCAAAACAAAGTAAAAAGTTAGTCCGATTTTTAAAGATAAACATTTGGCAAAGGAGGAATAATGGATGGAACGAAAAATGTAGTGAGTTGAAGAGAAAATCAAGGGAAAAATGTAGAAAATGGAAGAATAACAGGGGAAGGAAAGAAGAGTACTTAAAAGCAAGAGACAATTATAGGAGAAAATGTGAAGAAAAAAAAAGAGAAAATAGATAAGAAGACAATAAAGTCGCTGAAGATAGAAGAAGAAGTATGGAGGAAGGGGTAGTATGGACACTGTGTACATCATGCGGCATTTAGTGGGAAGAGAAATAAGGAATGAGGGTGGACGAATGTACGCATTGTTCATAGATTTGCCTTTGATAGCGTTAGATGCGTACCCAGTAACGAAAATGGAAGAAATATATGAAGAAACAGTAAGTAAGGTGAGAGAGGATGGAATACAGAGCGAGAGTTTTTATACAAATAGAGGAGTGAGACAGGGATGCCCACTCAGCCCTGCATTGTTTGCAGCTTATCTAGGATATATAGATGAAATGTTTAGAAAAACACAGACAGGAAGGGTGGTAGTGATCAAAGAGTAAGTGCGGTCGTTGGCGTACGCAGAAGATTTGGTGATTGTGGCAATGAAAAAAAAAAAGAAATAAAAACAATGATTAAAAGTTTCGAGAAGTACGTACAAAAAAAGGAATTGGAAGTGAATGTGGAAAAACCAAAAATGGTGGTGTTTGGGAAGAAAGTAAGAAAGCAGAAGAAAGAGTGGGCATGGAGAGGGAAGAAGATTGAACAGGTGAAGGAATTCAATACTTGGGATATATATCAAAAAGCAATAACTCAGATAGAGCACATGGTCCGAAAAGCGAACAAAGTGATAGGAATAGAGAAAATCTGGATATGATTATAAGAGACGAATGATGATATTTGATAGTTTAATCAAAAGTGTATTTATGTACGGAGCTGAGATTTGGGGATGAAGCAAATATGAAGAAATAAAGAGAATGCAAGAAAAATATTTAAAATGGACATTGGAATTGGGAAAGTATACGCCGGGATATATAGTGAGAGAAGAACCAAAAAGGGAGAAAATGAGAGTGGAAGTGGGTAAAAGGGCGGTTGGATTTGAAGAGAAGTTTAGTGAGAGAGGTGATTGCAAAATATTGCAAGAATGTTGGAAAGAAATAAGTTAGGAAGGGGGAAAACATGTTTGGAACGAAAGAGACAAGTACTATGAAGGAAAGGGATACGCATGTAAAGAAATAGAGAGAATGAGAGAAATGGGAAGGAGTATGACAAAAGAACTGAGTGTAAGAGATAAGGATGTAGATGAAACTGACAGAAGGTGCAGGACATGTTGGAGAGATAGAAAAACAATAGGGCATATGCTGGAAGGATGTGAAGGATTGAGAGAATCGGAGGAACGTAGGGAAGAAGTGCTAAACGAGGATGGAAGAGGACTGGACTGGATGAAAAAAGTACGGAAGATAAAGGAATTAAGGCAAGGGGTAGGCAAGCAGAAAAAATAGAATTATTATTATTAGATAAAACTCGAATATTTATTTTATTTATTTATTTATTTTATTGATTTATTTGTTTTATGTAGATTAAGTTAATTTGTACCCCTACTAGGAATCTTATTAAGCCTGTAAGGCAAATACTAAATTAATACTACATTATTTTAATGTGTTCATTGTAACTACATACACGTGAATACAACCAATACCATTCTCTCTTATCGTGACGACGACCCTAAATTGCACCAATTATTTAATCTGTGCCTAATATAAAACGCCAGTCAGTGGTTTATTGCCTGAACATGAAGATGATTCGAAAATCGTTTTTTATTGTTTGCTTATTTTTAAATTTGTTTTTATTTTCATGTGAATACGATCAAGAAAAGGTGAGTAAAACCCAATTTAACAAAATAACAAGCATCTCTCTCCAACAGTTTGACGTCGGTTCCAGGACTCGGCGATCACCTGACTCTCTCAGAATCGAAGAAGCTCTAACTAACCAGATTAACAGATTTCAAGAAAATGTTAACCGTAGACTACAATTTCTAGCAACAGAGAATATGTATCAGTTGGAACAGCTAAACCTCCATCTAGAAACATTCGATACGGGGAGAATCGTAAATATACAGCGCTTAATTTATGGTCAAGAAAGAATCGGGCGCGCAATAGATTCCAAGTTGGAACAGTTAACACATCGTTTACGAACTTTCAAATCTAAAAATGCCAAACGAATAGAACGGTTAACGTCTCACAAAGACGCTCCCGAATTGACGATTGCCTTGTTCATAGAAACAAGATCGACACTAGGAGTCTTGGAATCCGCATACCATCAACAGTTCGAACAAATAACAGATAGTCTGAAATCCCTTGACTCAAAAAATGAATCATCACTGTGTCTTAGGCAATCAACAAAAGCGAATTTTCCAAGGAACTGTAGGGAAATCAAAGAATTGGGTTACGGTTTTTCTACCATTTACACGATCAAACCAGACTCTGCGCCTAAAGCCACAAGAGTTCGGTGTGACTTAAAAAAACGTGAGGGTGGATGGACATACATTCTAAATAGGTTTGATGGATCACAAAATTTTGACTTTGATATGGATGTATATAAAAACGGATTTGGTAAACTTTCGGGTGAGTTTTGGCTGGGTTTGGATAACATTCATTATTTAACTGGTAAGTTGTTAAACCCAATAGAATAAAATGAAAAGCTGTATGTAAAAATGCAGGATATAAAGTTAACGAATTGCTAGTAGAACTGGTAGATTGGGACGAAAATTATAGGTTCGCCCATTATGATCGTTTCAGGGTGGGCAGTAAAGACGAAGGTTATATAGTGACTGTGTCAGGGTATAACGGTACTGCTGGAGATTCTTTGTCTTTCATCGACAAAGTGAAATTTGCTGCACGATATTTTGATTTGTATAAAAACGCTGTAATGAGCGGTAGTCAATATTACCGTAAGTATATAACATTAATTGCTACCGGTTTTATTGAAAATTTGAAAAAACATTGTAGTTACAACTTCGTGGTATAAGACTTCTCTTCTCACGGGAAAATACTTGAAAGGCCATGTCCACGAAAATGAGACAAGGGATATTATGCACTGGTCTACATTCCGAGGGAACCAATACAGTCTCAAGGAAGCTAGAATGATGGTTAGACCTAGAATCGAACCAAATGACTAGCTGTGCTGGAAGCAACACAGTTTTGTGAGAACTGGGGTGTGACATGAAATTAAAATTTTTACTTGTGTTGTCTAGAGTGATAAGCCTCAATAAAAACGATCTTAATCCTACTTAAACTTGTTTTAGTTTATTTTGTGTTTCACCGTCACGTCTACAGGTTGATATCAATATTATGACTATACAGGATGTTCATTTTATCTGTTCACGCCTGACAATTTATGCATAGGCAACATATTATACACGTTTCTGACAGCGAGGGAAGTACTGTCTACGCTCAAAACCGTAAAACTTAAAAATCTCAACATTGTAAAATTGTTACATTGGAAAGTGGAGAAATTATAAACCAGATACTGAAAATGGGGAAAAAACCTCTAAAATCGAAAATTTGTAAACTTGTAACAGTGAACAACCCAAAAATTAAAAAGAGATATTGCAAAAACAAAAAATTGGTCTAAAGAGTTTAGACAGTACTTCCCTCGCTGTCGGAAACTTGACGACTGCATGCCTATTGTGTTTTTTTTCTCATTACATTTTTGTAGTGGGAATTTAAAAAAAAAATTGCGATGACGTCATCAACATTTTTGCAAGGACACGTGTATCAGTTGGGATAGATGTAGTGTAATACTAAGAATAAAATTATTATATTCTCAAATTTTCGGGAAAATGAATTGGGTCGTTTTGAATATTGATTTGTAATAATCAATAAAATAACGAAACAATTTACTCACGTATACGTATCAGAGGCAACTGAAAATCGTGTATGTATAAACATTCTTAATTTAAGATGACAGGCGTAACACCATACGTGAGAGTCAAACAGAGAAACTGTAAACAAAACGACCATCGGTTTTATTGCTTCGACTTCCGCTTATTATATAAAACATTGGGTTTTATTTTAATTCTTGACGGTGAAATTCACAATTGGTTGATTATAAACATGTCTATTTCACATTCGCGGAACCAAGTGAACGCATAAAACAAATGCAGGTCTGTAATGTTAAAGTCGATGTAAATAAGCGTGCTACCCTTATGTTTCAACCGAGTTTTTCCTTTAACAAATTTTGTGTCTACCAAATTGGGTTGGTTGGGGTGTAATACTAATAATAAGTGTTGCCTTTAATTTAATCAATAAAATAAATTGACTTCATTAATTTTTTTGAACCTCCTCTTAAGAAAATCTAAAAAATATGAATGGAATGATAAATCACAAGTACAAACTCATCATATTTTTTGCATTTTAGATAGGATTTATTCAGCAAAATTTAAGGGTCACGTCATCAATTTTTTTAGGAGGGATGAACAAATACATTTTGAACAAAAGTTTACCATGCTTATAATAACTTTAAAATATTCCCAAGATTTCAAAGCATTCGGTTTTGTAATTCCTGATTAAATCGATAAAATAAATTCACGCCTTCATTAATTTTTTTGAGTCACCCTGCATATGCAAATCCAAAAATATGAATGGAATGATAAATCACAAGTACAGACTCATCATATTTTGTACATTTTAGATACGATTTATTCGGAAAACTTTTGAGCTGATGTCATCAGTTTTTTGTAGAAGATAACCAAATATATTTTGACTAAAAATTTATTATGCTCTTTATAACCTTAAAACATCTGCAAGATTTCAAAGCATTCGGTTTTGTAGTTCCTGATTAAATCAATAAAATAAATTTACGCATTCATTAATTTTTTTGAGTCACCCTGTATATGCAAATCGAAAAAATTTGAATGGAATGATAAATCACAAGAAGAGACTCACCATATTTTGTACATTTTAGATATGATTTATTCCACAAACTTTTGAGCTGACGTCATCAAGTTTTTGGAGGGGATAAGCAAATATTTTTTGACTAAAGATTTATGATGCTCTTTATAGCCTTAAAACATCTGCAACATTTCAAAGCATTCTGGTTAGCAGATTAAAAATTAAATTTCAAAATGTTGTTTTATAATTTTGATTTTTTTTCCAAAAATCTGGACGTTTCGGGTGAAAAGTCGATTCAGAGTTGTAAACTACATGTGTAGGACTATGTTATTTTATACAATTGAAAACCCATTTACTATGTACAATTTTGAAGTGACGTCATCGCATTAGTGGTGGGGATGATTAGACAAATTTTGGTTAGCGTTTTACCATCTACATGATATTCTTAATATAAGGACAAAATTTCACAACAATCGGTCGAGTACTTTCGGAGATTATCTGTCTAATAAAAATCCGGGACAACAGACGGACAGACGGACGGACAGACGGACGGACAGACGGACGGACAGACGGACGGACAGACGGACAGACGGACAGACAGACGGAAATGGGAGACCTATTTGTTCGTCTTCTAGGGGTCATGAAAGATCGAGAAAACGTAAAAGTAGAGAGTCGCCCGACGGACTCGATTACAATACTTCCTTTGCTTACGCTCGGGAAGTAAAAACGAAACATCGCGTACATAAATGTAAAACGGAAAAATCGTGAAATTAAAAAATCAAAAAATTGCAAAATATAAAACTGAAAGATTAGATATCGAGAAAAATGTTATATGTACATAAAACTTCAAAAATTAAACATTAAGACATTGAAAATTTGGGAAAAATTGGATAATTTGACACCGGAGAATTACAATGTTGTAAAAATGAAAAATCGAAAAATTAGAATTCGAAACACGCAAATCCGAAAAATTTGATATAGAGTTGGATTCTTCTCTCTCTTTCTAGACGAAACTTCAAACATTTACAAAAATTGATAAAAACAGTGATCCTGCAAAAGAAAAAATAAACTGTGAAACAGTTCCATGATAATATTTGTTTCATTTTTTTCAAAGTGTTCATTGCTACACACACGTGAACACAACCACTACTATTCTCTCTCTTATCGTAACAGTGACCCTAAATTGCACCAATTATTTAATCTCTGCGTAATATAAAACGTCAGTCAGCGGTTTATTGCCTGAACATGAAGACCATCCGAAAATCATTTTTTATAGTTTGCTTATTTTTAAATTTGTTTTTATTTTCTTGTGAATACGATCAAGAAAAGGTGAGTAAAACCCAATTTAACAAAATAACAAGCATCTCTCTCCAACAGTTTGACGTCGGTTCCACGACTCAGCGGCCACCCGATTTTCTCAGAATCGAAAAAGCTTTAACTAAACAGATTAACAGATTTCAAAAAAATGTTAAAACTAGCCTAGAAGCTCTAGAATCAGTTAATATGATGCAGTTAAAAAGGCTAAAGCACCATCTAGAAACATTAGATTCGGCGAATGACATAAGTCTTGAGCAACTCATTCACAATGTAAAAAATTTCGAGCTCACAATAGATTTACAGTTAGAACAGTTAACACATAGTATACGAACTTTCGAATCTACAAATCCCCCACAAATAGAACAGATAACGCACCGCATAGAGGCTGCCGAATCCGCGAATACCTCAAACATGGAACTAATGTTGACAGATGATCTACAAGTCTTCCAATCCGCAAACGATTTAAAGTTCAAACAGTTAACAGATTGTATGAACTACCTTGAATCAAAAATTGACATATCCATTGATCGTACGAAAGAAATAGCGACGAATCTTGCACGCAACTGTGGAGAAGTCAAAGAAAACGGTTACGATCTTTCTACCGTCTACCTGATTAAACCAGACTTTGCTCCTAAACCCATAATGGTTCTGTGTGACTTGGAAAAAAAAGGGGGTGGATGGACATACATTTTAAGTAGGTTTGATGGATCACAAAGTTTTGACTTTGATATGGAAGAATATAAAAATGGATTTGGTAAAATTTGGAGTGAGTTTTGGCTGGGTTTGGATAACATTCATTATTTAACTGGTAAGTTGTTAAACCAGTAATCGGAATAAAATGAAAAGTTGTTTGTAATAATGTAGGTTATGAAGATATCGAGTTGTTGATTGAACTAGTAGATTGGGACGACAATTACAAGTTCGCGCATTATGATAGTTTCAGGGTGGGGAGTGAAGACGAAGGTTATATAATGAGTATATCAGGATATACCGGGACCGCTGGAGATTCTTTCACTTACGTTACAAACAATACGAAATTTAGTACAAAAAAGATTGATTTGGATCAATGGTCTTTAGGAAGCTGTGCTCAATATTTCGGTAAGTATATAACTTTAAGTGCTATCCGTTTTGTTGAGAATTTGAAAAAATATTGTAGGTGCAAGCTGGTGGTATAAACAGTGTATGACCTCTCTTCTCACGGGAAAATACTTGGAAAGCTATGTCCACCCAAATGAGTTAGGGAAAATTATGCACTGGTCCACATTCCGAGGGAACCAATACAGTCTCAAGGAAGCTAGAATGATGGTTAGACCTAGAATCGAACCAAATGACTAGATGTGCTGGAAGCAACACATTTTTGTGAGAACTGTGGGTGTGACCTGAAATAAAAATTTTTGCTTGCGTTGTGTAGAGTGATAAAAGTCCTCAATAAAACCAACCTTAATCCCACTTAAACTTAATTGTACATTTTTCAAAACAAGGATTAGTCGAAATTTTGCATCCAAAAATCCACTAAGCCCAATGTTTGTTTTTTGCCTCAACATGAAGTCATTTTTCATTCTGTGTTTATGATTAAATTTATTCTTGTTTTCATGAAAGAATGGTCGGAAAAGTAAAGCAAAATTTTACGGGAGACTTATTTCTTCGTCCTCTAGGGGTCATGGAAGGTCGAGAAAACGTAAAAGTGGAGAGTCGGCCGACGGAATCGATTACAATACTTCCTTAGCTTACGTCCGCGAAGTAAAAAAAATGTAATGAAAAGCAAGAAGAACTTAAAAGAGTCGTCAATTTACCTAAATGATGATCTGACGGAAACGCAAAGAAAAATTCAAAACAAAATAAAAAGGAGGCAACAAAAAAGAGAAATAAAGGACAAGTGGTTAGAATGGGATATAAAAGTTAAATGTAAAGGAAGAAAACGAGGAAAAATTGAAGGAAACAAGCCAAAGGGGAAGAAATAATGGATTCAGATAAGAAAATCGGAAAAAGGGAAACTGGTACTAAATTAGGAGAAAAAGGAAAATGAGTTTTGGGACTACGTGGGAAAATTTGATGTGTTGGGGCTAGTAGAGACATGGGTACAAAGAGAAAACTGGGAGAAATTTGAAGAAACACTACCACAATAACATGTGTTGGAGTGTCAATGGGCGACGAAGGAAAAGAAAAAGGGGAGAGCGAGCGGGGAATAATAATAGGAATACGAAAAACAATGCAAGAATTGGAAAAGGGAAGTAATAATAAAAACAGCCTAATGAAGAAAGTAATACAGCTGGATAACAGTCGATGGGAAATAATAACCGTTTATTGCAAGAAAATGAAAAAAGCCAAGATAAACATAGAAAAGGAGATGAAAAAATACTTATAGGAGAGGATTTTAACGCAAGACTGGGCGATAAGGGGACAAGCGTAATAGAGAAAGAAAAGGGAGAGAAAATAGGATCAAAAGACAAAGCAAATATCAAAGAAGGGAAAAGATTTTGGAAGATAATAGAAGAAATGGGATTGGAAATTTTGAATGGAAACAAAGAAGGAGATGAAGAAGGAGAATGGACTATGGGATTGTCAACGAAGAGGCGTGGGAAGAAATAGAGAGTTTCAAAGTGGGGGAAAGGGTAGAATCAGACCACATGCCACTAGAAATAAAAATCAAAGGAAAAGAGCAAGAGTACGGAAAACAAGAGAGAACAAACGAAAGAAAAGAAATAGAAAAAAGAATATGGGATGAAGAGGGAATTCAAAGATACAGAAGTATACTAGAAAACAAGAAATTCGAAGTAAAAGAAGATATAGAAGCTATGATAGCAAAACTGATCAACTTAAAAATCGGATCATCGAAAAATCGAAGTTAAAAAAAAAGATGGAAAACTGAAAATTTTAAAAATTCCGAAAATTGAAGAATTGAAATATAGAAGAACCGAAAACTCGAGAAATGAAAAACCTAGAATACTAAAAACTGAAAAATTAAAATATTTAAAAGTTGAAAAAAACAGCCGAAAATTGAAAAATCTAAAGTTTAAAACACGAAAAACTGAAAATCGGGAAATCCAGAAGTCGAAAAATCGTAAGCTTATAAAATCGAAAAATTGAAAAATCAAAATCCTGAGAAATTGAAAAATTGACACATCAAAAACCTTAAAAATCGAAAAATTGAAGGATCGAACAAGTGAAAAATCGAAACTTTGGGAACAAATGGGAAAATAAAGAAAGATTACTTCAGAAATAGTAAAACTGAAAATTTAGAAACGTCAAAATTTGAAAAATTGTATATTGCCAATTGGATTTTTTAATTTTTAAATTTTTTTATTTTTCAGTTGTTCGATTTTGAGTTTTCAGAATTTCAGTTGATAAACTGAACAACGTAAAAAAAGAAAAAGCACGGAAAGATTGAAAAATTAAAAATAAAAAATCGAAAACTTAGAAAACGGTAAAACTGAAAAAAGTGGGAAATTTACAAATCGAAAAATAAAAAAAAAATCGAGAAACTGAAAAAACTGCTAAACTGAAAAATTGAAAAATTGAGAAATCCAGAAGTCATAAATTGAAAATTTGAAAATTAAATAATCGGTTAATAGAAAACTCAATAATTTAAAAATTTAAATGTGGAATAATTAAAAAATCGGAAAAGTTGAAATATAGAACACTTGAAAAATGGAAAAATTGCAATGGAAATTGTATTAAAAATTCGAAAAATTGCAAACTTGCAACACCAACAAAAAAAAGTTAAAATTGTAAAACTGAAAAATCGATAAAATTGAACATTCAAACATTTGAAGGGGCGAAAAACTGGACAACTGGGAAATTGAAAGAACAATCGAAAAAATGCAAAATTATAAACAGAAACTGAAAAACGGAAAATATCGCAAAATAAAAAACGGAAGTATTGCAAAATTTAGAAATTGGAAAAAAGACAATTGACAAATCGATAAATCTAAAAATTCGAAAATCAAAAAATTGTAAAACAGAAACGAAAAAAATGGGGAAATTGAAAATTAGATAACAGAAAAAATGAAAACCTGAAAAAGCTAAAAACTACACAATTCTAAAATTGAAAAATCGGCAATCGCATAATCAAAAATTGAGTAATTAATAAATCCAGACATTGAAAAATTGAAAAAGTGCGAAACAAATACTAAAAAAGTTCGAATAATTGAAAAATCGAAAAATTCCACAATTGCAAAACCGAAAAATTAAAAATTGGGGAGAAATTAGAAATTAAAAAATCGAAAAATCCAAAAATCAAAAATTAGAAAATCGAAAAAGTGGAAAATTGTAAAACAGAAACTAAAACAAATGAAAATTGGAGAAATCGAACAAGTTGAAAAATCGAATACCAAAGAATCGAAAAAATGCAAATTTATTATAACAGAAACTGAAAATATCGCGAAATTGGGAAAACTAAAAACAACAAAATTGTAAAGTTAAAAATCGAAAAAATCGAAAAATGAAAAATCTAAAATTGCAAAAGCACAAAATTGAAAAATTAAAATCGGAACAATATCAATAAATCTGAACATTGAAAAATTGAAAAATCGAAGAAATGTAAAATAGAAATTAAAAAAAAATCGAAAAATTCCCCAACTATAAAATTGAAAAATTAAAAAATTTAGGAGAAGAAATTTGGAATTAAAAATTGGCAAGTCGAAAATCAAAAATTTAAAAACAGAAAAAGTGCAGAATTGTAAAACACAAACTGAAACAACTCAAAATTGAAAAATTGGATCATTGAAAAATCGAAACATCGAAAAATTGGAAAATCGTAAATTAAAAAAAAACATGTAAATCGAAAATTTTAAAAATCCCGAAAATTGAAAAATTGAAATATAGAAGAACCGAAACTCGAGAAATCAAAAATCAAAAAGTTGAAAAGTTGAGAAATCGAAATATAAAATTGCGGAAAATTGAAAAATCTAAAGTTTAAGAAACGAAAAACTGAAAATCGGAAAATCCAGAAGTCGAAAAATCGTAAGCTTATAAAATCGAAAAATTGAAAAATCAAAATCCTGAGAAATCGAAAAATTGAAACATCAAAAACCTGAAAAATCCAAAAATCTGTAAACCGAGAACTGAATCGATCGAAAAATCGAAAAGTGAAGAAATCGAAAGGAAAAATAAAAAAAACTAAAACTAAAAAATGGAGACATTCAAAAATTAGAAAAGTTGAAAATTCCAAAATTTAATGAAATAAAATTTCGAAATGGCGAGAATTTGAAAAATCGAAGTCGAGAAATTTAAAAATCAAACAGTTCAAAAAATCAAGAAATGGAAGAATCAAAAAGTTCAAAAGAAAAAAATTCTAAAAATGCGAATATCGAAAAATCGGAAAATTCAAAATTTAGAACTCTAAAAATCGTCAAATTGAAATATCGAAAAATAAAAAAAAAACAAAAATCGAGAAAGCGAAAATTCGAAGAACCGAAAAAATGAAAAACCTAGAATCCAAACAGTGAAAAACTGAGTAATAGAAAAGTCGAAAAGTAAAAAAAAAGACCAAAATCGAAAAATCTAAAAGTCAAAAATCAAAAATTTGAAGAATCCATGGAAAAATCGAAAGGTCGAAAATCGGGAAAACCCAAAAACCGAAAAATCGAGACATTGAAAGATCCAGAAATCCAGACATCGAAAACTCGGAAAAGTTGGAAAATCCAAAAATCAAAAATTGAACCAATCGAAAAGTCGAATAGTGGAAAAATAGAGCAATCGAAAGAACCACAAACCAAGAAAGTCGAAAAATTAATAAATCGAAAAATCTTGAAATCGAAAAATTCGAAAATCTGAAAATTGGAAAATGAAGACACTAAAAAATCTAAAAGTCGACAATTGAAACTTTTAAGAATCGAACGAAAAATCGGAAAAACCCAAAAACCGAGAAATCAAGGAATTGAAAAATCCAAAAATCCAGATATCGAGACAGAGAAAAATCCTAACTAAAAAATCTTGAAGTCGAAAAAGAATCGAAGAAGTGAAAAATCGAAACTTTGGGGAGAAATGGAAAAATAAAAAAAAATTACTTCAGAAATCGGAAAACTGAAAATTTAGAAACGTCAAAATTTGAAAAATTCAAAAATAGAAAAATCTAAATATTTAGAAATCGTAAAATTGAAGAGGATAAAAATTGAGAAATTGTGTTAATGAAAAATAAAAAAATGGCGAAACCGAAAATTTGAAGAATGGAAAAATTTAAAATGCCCAAAATTGAAGTACTGAAAAATTGAACCGTCTAAAGTAGAAAAATCGAGAAATCATAAAGCCGAATAATCTCAATAATGTATTTATAAACCACAAGTTCAAGATTACACTATAGACAAAACTGTTGAACTTCCTTGTCCACTTTGTTCACAAAAATAATTTACACATTTCGTCTTTTATCGTCCTTATTATCCTTTTTCGTCCTTTCCGTTCTTTTTCATTCTTTGTCGTCCTTATTCGTCCTCTTGCGTCCTTTTTCGTCCTTTTCGTCCTTTCTAGTTCTTTTTCGTCCTTTTCGTCCTTCCGCCCCCGGACCACTGAAATGATTTATTAAGGCGGAGGAGCTTGTATGGGAGGGAGGAGCATCGGTAATATTGTTTCTTTAGTATGATTTTGACGTCTAGTATGCTTATTTAAGACCAGCTCAAAATTTTCTAGACATCTTATTGAACAATTTACCCTTTTTCTTGCCAACGATTTAACAGATTTATTAAAGATTTTAATAAGTTAATAATGTTGTCATTAATTAACAATATTAAGAGTTGTCATTGGAATGAAGAACGGGTGGGTGGGCGGGGAACTACTTGTTCATAAGACTGTAGAAAAATGCCAAACTTCACTCAGTTAAATATTTTATTCACTGTTAAATGAGAAATTAATTCAATTTTGACAAGCGGTAGAACCTAATGTTCAAAACAAAGTAAAAAGTTAGTCCGATTTTTAAAGATATACATTTGGCAAAGGAGGAATAATGGATGGAACGAAAAATGTAGTGAGTTGAAGAGAAAATCAAGGGAAAAATGTAGAAAATGGAAGAATAACAGGGGAAGGAAAGAAGAGTACTTAAAAGCAAGAGACAATTATAGGAGAAAATGTGAAGAAAAAAAAAGAGAAAATAGATAAGAAGACAATAAAGTCGCTGAAGATAGAAGAAGAAGTATGGAGGAAGGGGTAGTATGGACACTGTGTACATCCTGCGGCATTTAGTGGGAAGAGAAATAAGGAATGAGGGTGGACGAATGTACGCATTGTTCATAGATTTGCCTTTGATAGCGTTAGATGCGTACCCAGTAACGAAAATGGAAGAAATATATGAAGAAACAGTAAGTAAGGTGAGAGAGGATGGAATACAGAGCGAGAGTTTTTATACAAATAGAGGAGTGAGACAGGGATGCCTACTCAGCCCTGCATTGTTTGCAGCTTATCTAGGATATATAGATGAAATGTTTAGAAAAACACAGACAGGAAGGGTGGTAGTGATCAAAGAGTAAGTGCGGTCGTTGGCGTACGCAGAAGATTTGGTGATTGTGGCAATGAAAAAAAAAGGAATTGGAAGTGAATGTGGAAAAACCAAAAATGGTGGTGTTTGGGAAGAAAGTAAGAAAGCAGAAGAAAGAGTGGGCATGGAGAGGGAAGAAGATTGAACAGGTGAAAGAATTCAATACTTGGGATATATATCAAAGAGCAATAACTCAGATAGAGCACATGGTCTGAAAAGCGAACAAAGTGATAGGAATAGAGAAAATCTGGATATGATTATAAGAGACGAATGATGATATTTGATAGTTTAATCAAAAGTGTATTTATGTACGGAGCTGAGATTTGGGGATGAAGCAAATATGAAGAAATAAAGAGAATGCAAGAAAAATATTTAAAATGGACATTGGAATTGGGAAAGTATACGCCGGGATATATAGTGAGAGAAGAACCAAAAAGGGAGAAAATGAGAGTGGAAGTGGGTAAAAGGGCGGTTGGATTTGAAGAGAAGTTTAGTGAGAGAGGTGATTGCAAAATATTGCAAGAATGTTGGAAAGAAATAAGTTAGGAAGGGGGAAAACATGTTTGGAACGAAAGAGACAAGTACTATGAAGGAAAGGGATACGCATGTAAAGAAATAGAGAGAATGAGAGAAATGGGAAGGAGTATGACAAAAGAACTGAGTGTAAGAGATAAGGATGTAGATGAAACTGACAGAAGGTGCAGGACATGTTGGAGAGATAGAAAAACAATAGGGCATATGCTGGAAGGATGTGAAGGATTGAGAGAATCGGAGGAACGTAGGGAAGAAGTGCTAAACGAGGATGGAAGAGGACTGGACTGGATGAAAAAAGTACGGAAGATAAAGGAATTAAGGCAAGGGGTGGGCAAGCAGAAGAAATGGAACAATTATTATTAGATAAATCTCGAATATTTATTTGATTTATTTATTTATTTTATTGATTTATTTGTATTATGTAGACTAAGTTAATTTGTACTCCTACTAGGAATCTTATTAAGCCTGTAAGGCAAATACTAAATTAATACTACATTATTTTAAAGTGTTCATTGTAACTACATACACGTGAATACAACCACTACGTTTCTCTCTCTTATCGTGACCCTAAATGGCACCAATTATTTAATCTGTGCCTAATATAAAACGCCAGTCAGTGGTTTATTGCCTGGACATGAGGATGATTCGGAAATCTTTTTTTATTGTTTGCTTATTTTTAAATTTAATTTTATTTTCAAGTGAGGACTATCAAGAATGGGTGAGTAAAAACCTATTTTCCAAATGTTTTTGTCAGAAATCGGATTAATCGAAAATCATTAACACAAACTTATTCACCTTTATTGTACGTATCTCTCCAACAGTTTGCCGCCCAAAAAACTCTAACGAAACAGATTAACAGATTTCAAGATTATGTTAACACTAGCCTAGAAGCTCTAGAAGCAGCGAATATGAAGCAATTAGAAGAGCTAAAGCACCGTGTAGAAACACTAGATTCGGTCAAAATTTCAAATCTAGTGCAAACAATTGATACTTTAAGAACTTTTGTGTCCACAATATATTCAAAGATTGACCAGTTAGCACGTCGTCTACAAACACGCCAATCTATAAAAACCGCAGAATTAAAACAGTTAAAGCTTCGCATTGAAGCCGTCGCACGCGCAAAAGTTTTAAAGCTATTGCAATTTAAACAGCGTCCAGAAGAATTCGAACGCGTATTGAGGTTGAAGTTCCCAAAGATAAAACATCGTCTGAAATTCCTTGAAGCAAAAAATGAAATATTACGTTATCTGATCCAACCAAGACTTCCACGCAACTGTGGAGAAGTCAAAGAAAGGGGATACAATATTTCTACCACCTACCGTATTAAACCAGACTCTGCTCCTAAAGCTATAGAAGTTCTGTGTGACTTGGAAAAGAGGGGGGGTGGATGGACATACATTCTAAATAGGTTTGATGGATCACAAAATTTTGATTTTGATATGGAAGAATATAAAAACGGATTTGGTAAACTTTCGAGTGAGTTTTGGCTGGGTTTGGATAATATTCATCATTTAACTGGTAAGTTGTTAAACCAGTTATTGGAATAAAATGAAAATTTGTATGTAATAATGTAGGTTATAAAGTCAACGAATTACTGGTAGAACTCGTAGACTGGAACGACACATCAGTGTTTGCCCATTATGATCGATTCAGAGTAGGCAGTGGAGACGAAGATTATAAAATGATTATAATAGGGTATAGCGGTACCGCTGGAGATTCTTTCTCTTCCAAAAGCAACAACACGAAATTTAGTACACAAAAGAACGACTTGGATAATTGGTTGTTAGGAAGCTGTGCCGTAAGATTCGGTAAGTAGGTTTACCACTTTAATTGCTACCATTTGTATTAAGAATGTGAAACAACACTGTAGGTGCAAGTTGGTGGTACAACGATTGTACGAGTTGTCTTCTCACGGGAACATATTTGAAAAGCGGCTTGGACATCTCGGAAGAAAGTAAAATTATGCACTGGTCCACGTTCCGGGGGGACCAATATAATCTCAAGGAAGCTAGAATGATGGTTAGACCTAGAATTTAACCATATGACTACATATGATAGAAGCAGCACATTTTTCTATACACTGTAGGGGTGGCTCGAAATTAAAGTTTGTAGGGTTATCGAAGTGTTTGAAAGCGCCCAGAGTGCTCTAGCAGAACACCAATTGATTTGTTTTCCGACAAAGACAGAATTTCCTAACCTAAAGCTTTTTTATTAAATCGGATACAAATTTTCTAATTCTAGTCGTCCTCAACCCTCTCTGCGTGTACAAAATACAGCTTTTTGACATTTCAATTTCTAAGATGTTTTTAAAATTCACAGAGGGAGCATGATAGGATCGTGACGCCCATTATGGTCTCTATAATTTCAAAAATCAGCACCAAAGTGCTCGTTATGGAACACGGCATGACTCGAAAACCACTTTTGTAAAAACAGACAAAAGGCTAAAAAATATTTAAATATAAATTATGCAATGTTTCATTTAATTATCTAAATAAGGATGAAAGATAAAGAACTGTGAACTTAGTTTGAAAAACAAAATTTAAGTGTTGATTTTTACGCAAGAGATATTTGCGCAAAATCGTTAATTCTATTTAAAACAAAAAAAGGAAATAATTATTTTTGTCTTATCATGGTAACTGACACATAAATTAATTAAAATATATATTTAGTATAGTGTTGAACTAAGACAACAGCCAGTTGATCTGGTTTCTCAACATGAAGACGACTCTTAAGTCATTTTTCGTTTTATTCTTATAACTAAATTTATTTTTATTTTCATTGGAAGACGATCAAGGAAAGGTGAGTAAAATGCAACACAAACAAGGGTTGTTCGAAAATTTTAAAAAGTTTATCAAATTCAACAATTCTTTGTAAAATGTGATAACATAGAGTCTTCTGCTACAGTTTGACGTTGTTTCCACGACTCAAAAACCGCCTGACTCCCTCAAATCCGAAGAAACACTATTGAAGCAGTTTGAAAACTTTCAAGAAAATATTAAGGATAAAATATTTAAAAGCTCTCGAATCAGCGAACGCCTTGCAATTAGGACAGTTAACGCATCGTCTAGAAGGTCTCGAATCCACAAACAACTTAAAGTTGCAAGATCGTCGAGAAGTTCTTGACTCAAAACAAGAAGAAGTATTTTGTCTTAAGCACCAACCGGAAGAAAATCTTCCGCGTAACTGTATATGATATTTGGTCCATTTTTACTTCCCGAGCGTAAGCAAAGGAAGTATTGTAATCGAGTCCGTCGGCCGACTCTCTACTTTTACGTTTTCTCGATCTTTCATGACCCCTAGAAGACGAACAAATAGGTCTCCCATTTCCGTCTGTCTGTCCGTCTGTCCGTCTGTCCGTCCGTCTGTCCGTCCGTCTGTCCGTCCGTCTGTCCGTCTGTTGTCCCGGATTTTTATTAGACAGATAATCTCCGAAAGTACTCGACCGATTGTTGTGAAATTTTGTACTTATATTAAGAATATCATGTAGATGGTAAAACGCTAACCAAAATTTGTCTAATCATCCCCACCACTAATGCGATGACGTCACTTCAAAATTGTACATAGTAAATGGGTTTTCAATTGTATAAAATAACATAGTCCTACACATGTAATTTACAACTCTGAATCGACTTTTCACCCGAAACGTCCAGATTTTTGGAAAAAAAATCAAAATTATAAAACAACATTTTGAAATTTAATTTTTAATCTGCTAACCAGAATGCTTTGAAATGTTGCAGATGTTTTAAGGCTATAAAGAGCATCATAAATCTTTAGTCAAAAAATATTTGCTTATCCCCTCCAAAAACTTGATGACGTCAGCTCAAAAGTTTGTGGAATAAATCATATCTAAAATGTACAAAATATGATGAGTCTGTACTTGTGATCTATCACTCCATTCATATTTTTTGGATTTGCATATACAGGGTGATTCAAGAAAATAAATGAAAGCGTAAATTTATTTTACTGATTTACTCAGGAACTACAAAACCGAATGCTTCGAAATCTTGAAGATATTTTAAAATTATCAGAAGCATGGTAAATTTTTGATCAAAACGTATTTGGTCGTCCCCCCTAAAAAATTTATGATGTCACCACAAAATTTTGCTGAATAAATCCTATCTAAAATGCAAAAAATATGATGAGTTTGTACTTGTGATTTATCATTCCATTCATATTTTTTAGATTTTCTTAAGAGGTGGTTCAAAAAAATTAATGAAGTCAATTTATTTTATTGATTAAATTAAAGGCAACACTTATTATTAGTATTACACCCCAAACAACCCAATTTGGTAGACACAAAATTTGTTAAAGGAAAAACTCGGTTGAAACATAAGGGTAGCACGCATATTTACATCGACTTTAACATTACAGACCTGCATTTGTTTTATGCGTTCACTTGGTTCCGCGAATGTGAAATAGACATGTTTATAATCAACCAATTGTGAATTTCACCGTCAAGAATTAAAATAAAACCCAATGTTTTATATAATAAGCGGAAGTCGAAGCAATAAAACCGATGGTCGTTTTGTTTACAGTTTCTCTGTTTGACTCTCACGTATGGTGTTACGCCTGTCATCTTAAATTAAGAATGTTTATACATACACGATTTTCAGTTGCCTCTGATACGTATACGTGAGTAAATTGTTTCGTTATTTTATTGATTATTACAAATCAATATTCAAAACGACCCAATTCATTTTCCCGAAAATTTGAGAATATAATAATTTTATTCTTAGTATTACACTACATCTATCCCAACTGATACACGTGTCCTTGCAAAAATGTTGATGACGTCATCGCAATTTTTTTTTTAAATTCCCACTACAAAAATGTAATGAGAAAAAACACAATAGGCATGCAGTCGTCAAGTTTCCGACAGCGAGGGAAGTACTGTCTAAACTCTTTAGACCAATTTTTTCTTAATATACGCAACCTTTTTTTCCCAACAAGAAATTGACAATACGTTTAGCTATTCTATTGCTGAAAGGAAACCCTATATATAAGAAAAAAAAAACAAAAATTAAGCCCCCCCCACCCGCCCCGATCGCATTTGTGATAAATTTTTCATTCGTAATCAGACCGAAGGGCGGAGTTCAACTGCAAAATTCTCATTTCTCTGCAAGGAATTATCATATGGAATATGTTTTTACATGAATATTTGTCTAAAAAATTCTACCCTTTTAAATGATAATTTCTTGTGGAGAAATGAGGATTTTGCAAACTAAACTCCGCCTTTCAGCTCATGATGAATAAAACATTCATTACAATTGAGAAGGGGTGGGTGGGCGGTTCTAATATTTGGCCCATTTAACTTAATATACGCAGCCTTCTTTTTCCAAAAAGAATTTGACAATATGTTTAGCTATTCTATTGTTAAAAGAAAACCCTATATATAAAAAAAAAACAAAAAGTAAGCCCCCCCCCCGATCTCAATTGTGATAAATTTTTCATTCGTAATCAGACCGAAGGGCGGAGTTCAACTGCAAAATTCTCATTTCTCTGCAAGGAATTATCATATGGAATATGTTTTTACATTAATATTTGTCTAAAAAATTCTACCCTTTTAAAAACACATTTCATATGATAATTTCTTGTAGAGAAATGAGGATTTTGCAAACTAAACTCCGTCTTTCAGCTCATGATGAATAAAACATTCATCACAATCGAGAAGGGGTGGGTGGGCGGGGCTTATATTTGGTCCATTTTTTCTTAATATACGCAGCCTTCTTTTCCCAACAAGAAATTGACAATATGTTTAGCTATTCTATTGCTGAAAGAAAACATTATATATAAGAAAAATAAAAACGAAAATTAAGCCCCACCCACCCGCCCCTATCGCATTTGTGATAAATTTTTCATTCGTAATCAGACCGAAGGGCGGAGTTCGACTGCAAAATTCTCATTTCTCTGCAAGGAATTATCATATGGAATATGTTTTTACATGAATATTTGTCTAAAAAATTCTACCCTTTTAAAAACACATTTCATATGATAATTTCTTGTAGAGAAATGAGGATTTTGCAAACTAAACTCCGTCTTTCAGCTCATGATGAATAAAACATTCATCACAATCGAGAAGGGGTGGGTGGGCGGGGCTTATATTTGGTCCATTTTTTCTTAATATACGCAGCCTTCTTTTCCCAACAAGAAATTGACAATATGTTTAGCTATTCTATTGCTGAAAGAAAACATTATATATAAGAAAAATAAAAACGAAAATTAAGCCCCACCCACCCGCCCCTATCGCATTTGTGATAAATTTTTCATTCGTAATCAGACCGAAGGGCGGAGTTCAACTGCAAAATTCTCATTTCTCTGCAAGGAATTATCATATGGAATATGTTTTTACATGAATATTTGTCTAAAAAATTCTACCCTTTTAAAAACACATTTCATATGATAATTTCTTGTAGAGAAATGAGGATTTTGCAAACTAAACTCCGTCTTTCAGCTCATGATGAATAAAACATTCATCACAATTGAGAAGGGGTGGGTGGGCGGGGCTTATATTTGGTCCATTTTTTCTTAATATACGCAGCCTTCTTTTCCCAACAAGAAATTGACAATATGTTTAGCTATTCTATTGCTGAAAGAAAACATTAAAACATTATATATAAGAAAAATAAAAACGAAAATTAAGCCCCACCCACCCGCCCCTATCGCATTTGTGATAAATTTTTCATTCGTAATCAGACCGAAGGGCGGAGTTCAACTGCAAAATTCTCATTTCTCTGCAAGGAATTATCATATGGAATATGTTTTTACATTAATATTTGTCTAAAAAATTCTACCCTTTTAAAAACACATTTCATATGATAATTTCTTGTAGAGAAATGAGGATTTTGCAAACTAAACTCCGTCTTTCAGCTCATGATGAATAAAACATTCATCACAATCGAGAAGGGGTGGGTGGGCGGGGCTTATATTTGGTCCATTTTTTCTTAATATACGCAGCCTTCTTTTCCCAACAAGAAATTGACAATATGTTTAGCTATTCTATTGCTGAAAGAAAACATTATATATAAGAAAAATAAAAACGAAAATTAAGCCCCACCCACCCGCCCCTATCGCATTTGTGATAAATTTTTCATTCGTAATCAGACCGAAGGGCGGAGTTCGACTGCAAAATTCTCATTTCTCTGCAAGGAATTATCATATGGAATATGTTTTTACATGAATATTTGTCTAAAAAATTCTACCCTTTTAAAAACACATTTCATATGATAATTTCTTGTAGAGAAATGAGGATTTTGCAAACTAAACTCCGTCTTTCAGCTCATGATGAATAAAACATTCATCACAATCGAGAAGGGGTGGGTGGGCGGGGCTTATATTTGGTCCA